AAAAAATAATTTTTGGATGAAGAATGCTTCTTTCACGTTAAAATCCTGAAAATAAATAATTTTAAAAAATAGAATTCACAAACTTTCCGCTTAACCGGGATCGAACTCATGACCCCTCGATCCATAAATCTCTTTACCGCAGCGATACTGACCATGCCATTCTCACTAACGGTGTTGCCTCGAATATTAAGCTTAAATTAGTTTCCCGCACTTTTTCAACGGTAACTATTTAGACCCATTGTGGCCCCCTATTTTGGCTATAAAAAATTCCTTTCTTACAATGGTTTAGTATATTAAACTGTAAATTCTGGCCGAGTTTGAAAATTATGGATTAATATCAAGGGGAGATATGGGGTCATTTGTGTGCGTAACGTGGAAGAAGAAATTCATCCTGTTCTTAGCTATTATTCGCTCTTGAAAAAATAAAAATAATAATTTTTGGCAGAAGAATACTTCATTTACGTTAAAATATTAAAAAATAAATAAATGAAAAATATATTAAAAAGTTCTTTAAAAATCTCCTTTGACAGGGATCGGACTCCTTAACCCTCGGTCAACTAATTTCTTTGTTACCAAGCACGCGACTCAGCTAACCATACCACGCCTCACACGCTGTAGATACGAATATTAAATTTAAAGAACTTTCCCGCGTGTTTTCAACGGAACCTATTTATGGTCATTGTGATCCCCTTATTTGTCTATATGAAATTCCTTTGGTTCGATTGTATAGTATTTAAACTATAATTTCAGGCCGAGTTTGAAAAAATTTTGTAATATTAAATGAATGTTTGGGGTAATTTGCATGAGTAGCATCGGAGCAGAAATTTATCCGCCTTTTCGCTATTATTCGCTCCTACAGAAAGAAAAATAATATTTCAGGATAAAGAATACTTTATTCGCCTTAAAATACTGAAAAACAAGTTTAATAATTTTTTAAAAAAATCAAAATTTACCCTTGACCGGAATCAAACACCGGTCCCCTCTGTCCACAAGCATCTTTTCCGCAGAGCTACTGACCATGCCACGCTACCACACAGTGATGCCACGAATATAAAGCAAATTTCCACATTTTAACGCTATTCAACACAATTTTATATTTATACATACATAGTAAACTATGGGGCCACATTGTGTCCCTCTAGTTGACCTATTATTATTAGTTCTGGTAGGGTGCACTAGTACTCCTTAATATAATACCTAGCCCATATGAATAGTATGGGTCAATATAAAGGGGACAAATAGGGAAATGAAAGTAGTAATAGCGAATATTAACCTTGAATTTCCTTATTTTAACGCTAATCAACACGCTATTATGTATGTATACTTACCTAGTAACCTACAGGGTCACATTGTGTGGCCCTTAATTGGCCTATAATTATTTCTTCTGGTAGAGTACATTAATACCTGAAATATAATCTGTTGTCTAGTATGAATATTATTGGTCAATGTTAAAGAGAGGTGCAGGGCCATATAGAAATACTGAATATTTACTACGAATTTCCTCACTTGAACGCTATTTAACACTCTATTATATAAATCCATACATAGTAACCCTTATTAGGCCTATAAGAAGTAATACAGAATATTAACTTTGAATAAACTCTTTTTAACGCTATTCAACACACTTTTATGTATTTATACGTTATAGGGCACCATTGTTGGCCCCCTATTAAGCCTACCATTTTTTACTCAAGTAGGATGCAGAAGTACCCGGTAATATGATACGTATTTATTTCCTCTAGTAGGGTGCACTTATACCCTGTAATATAATACGTGGCCCAGTTTGAATATTATGGATCAATATTAATTGGAGCTATAGGGCCATTTATTTATGCAGTATATTAACCTCGATTTTTCTCATTTTAACGCTATTCAACACACTATTATATATATATATATACGCCGGCCAGGTGGCCGAGCGGTTAGCGCTCGTGACTGCGAAACCAATGGCCGCGGGTTCGAAATCCCGCTCTGGGCATGGATGTTTCTCTCTCTTGTGTTGTCCTCTGTTGTGTGTGATGAGTGAATGTGGCCCTCCCTATGAACGGGTTTCTGGTAGTGTGGCGTGGGCAATGTTACTCGCCTCCGTGACTTTGGTTTACAGGTGCCCACTGGGTAACGTGAANGCATATAATTATTTCCCTATGTAGGGTACACTAGTACCCGGTAATATAATACGTGGTCCAATTTCATTTCAATTATGTATCTCTCTTTAATTCCAAATTCAAAAGGGGAGATACAGGGCCATGTTATAATACAAAATATTGGTTTCAAATTTCCTCATTTTAACGCTATTTAACACACTCGTGTATATATACATAGCAACCTACAGGGCCGCATTGTGGACTTCCTAATAAGCCTATAATTATTTCCTCTAGTTCGGTACACTAGTACCCTGTAATAATACGTTGCGCATTTTGAATATTATGGGTCAATATTAAGGGGAGATATAGGGCCATGCTCCATTATTGTTCTTACAGTCCCTTGATTCTACTAATTTGTTGCTTCCTATCAATTTTCAATCTATTATTCGCTCTTACAAAAAAGAAAAATAATAATTTAAAGAAAAGAAATATTTTATTTACGTTACAATCTTAAAAAAAAAAATTTAAAATTAAATATAATTTCAAAATATGGACACTTTACCGGGTTTGAACCACGGACCCTTGCATATACGAATTTGTTGCTTCCTATCAAGAAACACTAACGGCCATCTTACACAGGGGGGCTGTGCTACTCATATTAACCTTTATGTACTTGCTCGCTCTTTCCCAATGAAACCATATTTTGTTCCCTCGTGGGCCCCCTAATTTGTTTATAATTATTTCCTTGGCTACGATTGTATAGTATATTGAAATATAAAATCAGGTTCAGTTTAAAAATTATAGGTTAATATTAAGGGGGGATATGGGGTCATTTACATGCATAGTATATGAACAAAATTTTCTTCAATTTTAAGCTATTATTCGCTCTTATAAAAAAAAATAATTTAAGGGAAAGAAATACTTTATTTACTTTACAATATTGAAAAAAATAAAGATGAAAAAATTTTTAAATATAAGTTTTAAATTTTTGACTCTTAACTTGGTTCGAACCCCGGCCGTTTGGGTCTACTAATTTGTTGCTTCCTATCACGTAACAATAATGGCCATACCACAAATTTTCCACTTATAGTAACCTGTAAGTACTTTCCAGTGCTTTTCCAATAAAACCATATTTTGCCTCCACGGGGGCCCCCTAATTTGTCTATAGTTATTTCGTTTGGTATAATTGTAAACTATATTAAAATATAATATCTGATCGAGTTTTATTCTTTCTCTTCTACGAATTTTACTTATTTTAAACTTTTTATTTCTTTAAGTATTTTATAGTAACCGTGATAATTTTTTTTGTGTACCTGGCAACATCGATGCACAATTAGTTTGTTTATGTTCTACATTTCTTCAGTCCTATCTTTGTGCTGAGTAAAAAGCATATTGAAAGAATTAAAATCTTTGCGAAAGAATCTTTGAGTAAGAGTATGGAATGTATCACTTAAGAGAATTGATGCTTGGCAGGCTTGGCTTACTCGAAATACAATGGAAAGAACAGTTGCTAACGTAAACATTCCCATTGAGAGAATACCGCGAAGAACAATAAGAAAATATTTAAAAAAAATTCTCCTGATTACGTTCTTAACCGTAAAGGGATTTATTTCAGTTTTTATCTTTGCATAAAATCCAACTTAAATTTTAAAAACTTAAATTGTTTATGTATAAACTTTAAGGACTTAATATTTGTGCATTTTTCTTAGTGTTTGTTAGATTAAACCGAATTTTAACAATAATAATCTTTGGCTGACTATGTTGTGGTCGTAAACAAATTTGAATTTATGAAGATAGGCACATTGACTTCGTAAGTTCTGCTAACAAACCAATATCTATTGTTAAACTGCGAAAAAAAAAAAAAACAATTTTATAAATAATTTACTTCAAAGGGTTTCACTTACTGAGAATATGGATACTTCATGGATACTCATGTGGATGGAATATGAATACTCATGTACACTGTGGTCCGTACATGTAGTATACATGTTACCATGAATGACCCAAATCAAGAGAATGTCGACTTTCACCGGTGAATGACAATAATTACATAGTCGCTTTGGTGAATGTCCGAAATATTTGTAATATCCGATTTGATATTAATTTATTTGATATTTTAATATCTGCTTAGGATAGATTAGGAGAAACATCAGTGTTCGGAGTACCAGTTAAATGAATAGTGGGCAGTGAGACTAAACATTGATGTAGGGCATACCGGGCAGTGGCACTTAACTAGATCTAGTATATACTTCGGACATTTACCTACAAAAATATGTGACCGCAACATTCACCGGTGAAAGTCAACAACCACCAATTTCGGTCATTCACAGTAACAATTACATATCCTCTTCTTCAAAATGTATGCATTTCTGCTACTTATATATTCTTAGGATTACAAACATAGTTACTGAGTTATGAAAATTAATATGAAACTACAATTATATTTTAAGCTAAAATTTCATTTCCATCTGTTTTAGATTTATAGAAGTTATACTATTTGACAGGGCTCGTACTCAACTGGGAAAAAATAATATCTGGTATCAATTTTGTTATGAAGAAGCTGAAAATTCCTTAATATTAGCTTTAACTATCGAATCAAAATTGCAGATTCCTCGGATTTGTATATATTTGCTTAGAGAAAATAAAATATTCTTTATACAATATACAAACGTAATAATGAAAAAAAATAATGTTAATATTACTGCCACTTTTTAGTTATTGCCAGGTACGTATGAACCCTGTTTGAGGAAGAAATATGAATTACTTTTATTGATAAACCACTAAAAAAGTTGTAAAAGCAAAAATCACACCAACTTCTAAGAAAAACAAAATCAATTGGCCGAAAGGGTTTTATTATGTACAAAAAATTTTGGGCGCACAGTGCAACTTAGAATATATAAGAATAAATAAGAATATAAAAGAATAAATAAGAATAAATAAGAATATAAGTCATCAACATAAATACAAGCATCTTCTTAGACTGCATGCCTTCTTAAACTGTAAAAAAATAAAGAGTTAATTATAAATTTTTATTATTACAGAGTAACTTAAATAATTTACAACAATAATTAACTACACTTTTTTCTAGTCTGTATATTCTATTATACGCTTTGTAAAAAGTAAAAAAAAAATGCGAATAATGGTTAAAAACGTTTTTATCTGTTCAAAACTCCATCAATTCTCAACCCCAATGCATTATGGGATCGAACTTTTAAAGCCTTTTAATGGCTCATCAGCACTATCGACATAGATTGCTGTTAGAAAAAGTTTATTTGATTTGGAAGTTTGCCGTTAGAAGTTAAATATAATTTCCATTCTGTTTCATTGTTGAATTAAGTTTCTTAGGTAAGGTTTTAATTATAGTTTTCTTTTGCTCGTAATCTGCTGTTGCAAAGCTGATCTGCTGTTACAAAGGAAGATCTGCGTATCTGCTGTTACAAAGGAAGATAAAAAAAAGAATTATCTATTTTATTGCAAAAATTAAAATAAGACTGATTAAACTTGTATTCTAATCATTAAATAACTTAACATAAAACTATTAACATTAACGTAAACTTAAACATATTTCAAGTTTACCTATTTTTGGCATTTCCTCATTTGCAACCTAAAGGTTGAATCTTTTTTGATATCCGTAAAATTTGCCTTTTTCCTCGAAGAAGTTCCAATATTTTTCCCCTTTCGGTTTTGGCAAATGAGAGTAGAAATCGATCTTCTCTTTTATCATTCCTAAGAAAAAAGAAAAACAAAAGAAGGTCAAGGGTATTTCGAGCGAGTCATCTTGGTTATTATTTCAATCGTATAAATAAAAATCAACTGAATAGTAACAGTATATACGAAAATAAGTGTTATTCAGTGTTAATTAAATGTTTTTAAGGATTTAAGCAAAAAATTATTCTTTGTTTTTTTAATAAAACTTTTTCAGGGTATTATTTTAGGTACGATACAATATGCAATGCTTAGTAATGTTTAATCAGCACAAAAAATGTCTTTCATGCTATAAAGTAAATAAACTCCGAAACTCACATCGTAATCTCTACCAAATATGCGTAAAGCATAAACGCATTAATGAGAGATTTATTCTAATCGAAATCGAGTGAATTTAAATTTGTATTTTAAAATCAAAGTTCTTTTTATCACTAAAAACTTAGTAGGAAGGTTTGTGTGAAGTAAAAGCTGATAAATACTTTTTCAATCACAATTTCGAAATTACAATTCATTACTTTAAGAAAAATGGTATTGCGCAACTTTTTTGTTGCGTGTAATCAATGTAATTTGATATTGTACTACAAACAAATCAAACTATGCATATTTTTCTAAGATGCTCTCCCTTTTTACGATACAAATTATGCTAATGATATGTGTTCAAAATCGTCAGGTTAACTAGTTCTGGTTGATCGCTTTTAACGTACTTTGAATGCAAAGTAAATTTTTATTTACCTAATAAAGAATAAATAAAGGGAAAATTTTAAAACTACGTTTTTCAAGGGAAATGAAAAGACTAAAATGATTTTTTTTAATCACACTGACAACGAAAAACATAAAGTACATCACTTTTGAAATACGTGAGGGGAATTTATTGTGGAGATATATTTATTAAGATGGTGATATACTACGTTTTTCAATTTTTAGTGCTACCAAAATCGATAAAAGAAGAGCATTTTATCGAAATTTAATTTGTTTTTATTATTTTATTTTTAATTTTGGGTTTTTTAGCTGGTAAATTTCGATTGGTGATAAAAGAAATATAAATTATATCATTAAGCTAACTTGCCTAGAAATCATTTAGCTAACTTAATATGCTAACTTGAAATTTATTTGATATCATCAGATAACTTGTATTGTTATAAGGTGCAGAGTTACAATTGACATTTTTGTACTCTTAATATTCGACAGATGATCAGAATTTTAATTGAAGGTACATAATACCTCGATAAACTTTACTTGTAGCGGTCAAGAAATAATTGTAATTTGTATTGTCCCCCAGTACAGAGCTTCAATACAAATTAGGGTGTTCTAGTTCATAGAAAACAGTTGGATTCTTGATTGAACATAATATTGTGATAAATTTTGATGGCGGTTAAAAAAAGAGAAGAAAGAAAACGATTGCAATTTAAATTGTCTTCCAGCACATAGCTGCATCTCAAATTTTATTGCTTTAGCTATGCGAAAAAATTCGGAAATGTGAATTGCAAAAATATTTCTTTTGCAAATAATATGACGATACATTTAATTTGTAGTGATCTGAAAACGATTCTCAATTGCGTTATTATACTTCTCCTATAGGAAGTAGAGTGCTCTAGCTAATCGGGAAGTGGTGGATTCTATCGCCACGGTTATGAAAGCAAGTAAATAAAAAAGTAGTAAAAATATTTCAGAATTAATAAAATATATTATTATAGTTTTGTTTTAACTTAAACTAGATTAAAACTTAAGTACAAGACCACTATTGTTTTTATAGTAATTAGTCGTGAAAATAAAATTCAATGTGTGAAACATTAAACTACGAAATAAGTCATGTAGTATTAATAACAATCGAATGAAATTTTAGTTTAAGAAAATTTAAAATCCAAAACTCACTATGGAAAGACAAATTCAATAACACGCTGTCCTCGTTGTTGTTGTGGCACAAAGCAAGATAGTATATTCCACTGTCACTCAGTTTATGTTTTTTAAATATGATGGTGACAGTATCATTTGAGACAGCAATTTCAAACTTTTTCACTCTCTTTCCTTTTCGGTAGAGTTTCACACTTGAACCAGGAATCACGTCTGGAAAAAGAGCCAAAATACTAAATACAGTATTTAAATGCCATTATTTTTAACACGGGGTGTCTACGAATAATGCTTCCAGTTTTGAAGCGCAATACAAAATGAATGAAATAAGAAGACTAAGTTTTGTTGCATTGCAACAAATCTGAACGGATTGGATTTATTTCAAACCAGAATATGGGTGAAATAAACGTTGGATCTCTTAATGTTATTATTGGAATAACATAATTTTTTTTCTGTTAAAAACATTTATCGTGTAAATATTTTAATTACATTTTATAGCTTAAGATACTTTTTTAAAGGATAAGTAACGAGATTTATCTCTCTTTTTTATCGCATTAATTCCTAAAAAATCTTGTAAAACGTTTTTTTTCATTTAACGTTTAAAAAAAACTTGTATTTTGTTGTTCAAACCTGTCCAAGTAGAACGTTTTATTTCACTGAAACAAAAAGATATAAAGTGAACAATTCGACTTGAATGCATTTTGTCTAATACATTTTGTCCTAATAAGTTTTCAGAGATAAATAAATATAACAGGGCTGTCGCAACCGGTAAGGAAAGATTAGGGAAACAAAGTATTTTTACTCTTTCCCATCTGCGAAAGCACATTTGATATTTAAAAGTAATGTATTTAAAACTGTCCAACCCAATTCTTGAAATTAAAGTGAATTTAAAACACTTTAAAATTAAAACAACTTAACTCACCCTGTAATAACTAAGTAGTTTTATTGCTACTCTTCACGTTTTTGGGTGCAACTTTCACCTCAGAATGATGTAATTAATTGCGTGGAATTTTGAAACATACACATTTTAAAAAATACATTTTTTTATTTTTTTTTCTCTAAATTTTAAAATATCTCAATTCGAAAACTCTTTATGGAAAAGAAAGCTTTCATTTATTTCAGTTGTTAATTTGTGTATAATAGTAAACTAATAAGTTACATTTTATCACCAAGTATCACATTCATTGTATTACGTTTTAAACAAAAGTTAAATGATACTCAAAAAAAATTTTTTATCTTATTCTTATGTTTAGTTTAAAATTAAATATTAGTCATAAATTATTGGTGTAATAATTTGGNTATTTTTACTTCATTTAAGGCATTTTTTGCGCAATTTTTGGATTTTTAAGTGCATTTTTTGCCTTTTTTAAGGGCATTTTTTACACTTTTTAAGGGCATTAGTTGAGATTTTTTATGTCATCAAAATCCGGGCTCTACTAATAAATTACATTTTATCACCAAGTATCAGATTCATTGGACTGTATTACGTTTTAAACAAAAGTTAAATGATACTCAAAAAATTATTTTTTATCTTATTCTTATGTTTAGTTTAAAATTAAATATTAGTCATAAATTATGGGTGTAATAATTTGGAAAACAACATGCTTCGAAGAACTAAATGATTGAAAATGTAAAGAGGATCGGTAAATTTGGCTACTTATTTTCAGAGTTGATCAACTGAAAAAATAATTTGAGTTTCATGTGTATCACAGTAATAGTAATCTGATATAAAAGAGTTATGTGCTCTGCTGCTTAAGTTTCAGAAGCAACATTTAATGAGCTCGTTTGGCAGTTTTTTATTATATTTTTTAATTGTATTTATTATTGGTCGAAAAATTTGAAGTGTGAGATATAAAAAATTTATCAGTTCATAAGAAGAAGATATAACCAAAATCTTTAGTTCCACACGCTTTCACCAATTTCTTCAAAACTATACATGTCGCCAATTTTGAATTTAGTACCAGTTCTGTTATCTTCTCCCTATTAGGTCGTTACCAGTAGTACTTCAGACGAAGGCGATAATATCGAAAACTTTAGTACCACTTTGATCACTTTATTTCCTTTTTCGTTTTTTCCAATGAAACTTTCAATCATAACAAATAAATATTATTTTAAGTTTCTAGACATTGGTTCCGACACGCTCTCACCAATTAGTACTTCAATACCATACCTGCCGCCATTTTCAAATTAATTATCTGTTGTTTTATCTTTCCACCATTATGTTGTTACCAGCAGTTCATAAGATAGCGATGTACCCGTATTAAGGTCACAAAATTTGAATTGTAAGATATAGAAAATTTATAAAGCTTTATAGAAGGAGCAAAAGGAGAAAAAAATGAAAAGGAATAGAAAGGTTGAAGGTCTAAACATAAAGTTTTTTCCCCGTTCAGTCGAATAGTTTTTGATTTGTTAAAATTTAGAAAGGCCGTATTTTTAAAGTTTTAAATCCTTAAGAACTTTATGTGACCAATTTCATTCACATTTTGTATTTTGCCACTTAAAGTTACATTATTAAGTTACATCGTAAAAGTAATAAAATGCTATTAATAGTTATTTTTTGCATAGAATTATGTTTAGATAAACAAAAATACGATTAGTTTGATAACTTTTATGTAACTTATTATTGAAAAACTTATATTTAAATTAAAATAACTAAGTTTATGATTGTTTACAAAACTTTTTTGACTTGCTTAAGAAGTTCTTGAGACACGGTGAATTACTCAAATAGTAAAATTAAGAAGTCCAAACTCTCCTGACCAAACTATTGGGACCCTGTTTTCCAAATTGCAACTACACACTTTATTTACAGTGTCATGTATATGAAACCATCAAACAAAAGGTATGTTTATTGAGAGAGAGAAAAGATTGGTGTTGAATTTCGTAACTAGAAATACCGTTTGCACTTATTAATTAGAATATTTTAGATTACCGCCGTTAACCATTAAGATTGAGTTCTAGAACTTGGAAATCATTTGATTAAAACATATTCTAGGTGCTCCGATTTTCTTCTTCTACGCTGCACGTTACGGCGAGTGGAAGTCATTTCTAAATCCACGTTTGTTATGAAAATATTTATTAAAAAAAATAATGACTACTCACTGATCAGTTTGATTTCAGCTTTCAGTGGTGCATTAGTGCAACCAGATATTTCTGGTGGATGAATCAAACTAGCATCACCACTGTAAAACTTTCTGATTCCTGATTCTTCCCAATCATTCCTGTACCACTCCGGTTCTTGAGACTCTACAAATGTGGAGACTATACGCGGAGGGTCTTTTACAACCAAATCACACAATGACCTTTGGTCACCATGGCCAGATGTTATGCCAAGATAGGGTAATTGAGACCCGTGGGTCTCTTCAATCATACTCGCCGCAGAAAGCAGCTCAGGCACAGTTTTTTTCTTTCTGAGAAAAAACGAAAACCATCCTGATATGCAAATTGCATTCATAAGGCGATTCATTTTCAAAGCTTCACCTTTCAATGCTTATTCAAAGATAAGAATGAGTGTTTTAAGAATTTCTTTGTACTTCTTTTAGAGTATTGTTGACAATTATATTTCCTTCTAAGAATACTTTTTAATACAGACATTATTGAAACTCTCATTGCATACGTTTTAAACAATAGTCTTGAACAATCATTCAAGATTTTTTTTATTATTGCAAAACTTATATTTAAATTATATGTTAACCGCCGTTTGACATTGTTGGAATTTTATATTTATATAATATACTGACCAATCCATATTACCACTTTTAGTACCACTTAAATAACTTTTTTTTTCGCTTTCATATCCAGTAAACTCTTAATTTCAATTATTCCTATACATTTCCCTTTTCATTTCCCACATACATTTCCCACATTTTAATTTATTATATTTTAATGATCACCAATAAATTCTGCGCAGATCTTAATTATTATTACTCAGTATCCTAATGAAAGTACACTTCTTTTTTATGATCTAAACAGTTAAAGAGTAGTTTAAAAGTTCGTTCAATACTGCTACTTTATACTTCAATGGGGAATAACTGAATAAAAATTTAAAAAAGTCATTTTTCGATGGCATTTTACGAATCCCAGCGATGGCTGGCGATGCGGATTCCGTATTCGGCTTACATCGACAACAGTCCTGGCGTCAAATATCCACAGTGGTAGACGGATCATGCGTTAGAGTTCCCTTACCGTTAGGATATTCGTGGGTGGCTTTCTTAGTTTTCCTTTCCGTGTAACGCAAATGCTGGTTAGTTCCGTCAAAAAGTCCTCCACGAAGAAAAATTTCTCCCGATACTTGATCCAGGAGTTCCCTTGTCTTCTGCATTGGGATCATAATTACAAGGCTACGGGATTAAACAATGGAAGTTACAAACCCAAAANGTCGTAAGAATTTACGAAAATAAAAAAATTCAGCCTCATATACCTAACCAAAAAATTATGTAAAATTATCAAAGCTTAACTATGGCCACCTGTGGTTCACCTATCCCATTTTTTAAAAATATTTTATTTTAATAATTTTTCTTCTTCTCTTTTAATTAATACTTATAATTTTTTTTCGATATTTTTTATATATATATATGGGGCAATCCATACAAGATTTACACCCATGATGCAAAAATGATATATTTATTTTTTTTATTGTTTTTTATTGAAAGTAAATCGACATGTAGTTTTTCGTTTTTGCTTAAATTGCATATTGTTGACTATATGAATCATAGAAAATTTTGCACGTACTACTTTGCAAGTAATTTTTTAACGTATTGCCATCCAGCAGCAAAAATATTTAAATACACTTTCTTGAAGTGATTTCTCTCAAATTTTAAGAAAATCAACATTAAAATATAAATTTTTTTGTTTTTAACATTAAAAAATTCATTTTTTGAAGAAAAAAAAGAAAAAAAAAACATTTTTTTTTTCTTTTTTTTTTTGCAATTTGGACTTTTTTGATTTTTTTTATATTTAGACAGTGTGTAGTGTAATTAATAATGATAATAATTCCAAATTTTTGGAATGGTAAGACACTTTGTTCAAAAGATATAAACAAAATAAACAAAATAAACAAAATAAAAGATATAAACAATTTATTTTTTTTTTGCAATTTGGACTTTTTTGATTTTTTTGATTTTTTGACAGTGGGTAGTATAATTAATAATGATATTAATTCCAAATTTTTGGAATGGTAAGACACTTTGTTCAGAAGACATAAACAAAACAATGACGGCGCACGCGCCGTACGCAACGCCGCTCGTCACTCGTTACAAGTTTGTATGTAGCCTGACGTTTTGCAACAGCAGATCACAACATTATTCTTAATATAAAAGTGTTCCTTTTATATTAAGACCCGACTTTATACCCGCAAGCATTATACCCGACAAAGACAACAATTTTTATAATAAACAATACTCGTCTTCTGAAACTTCTGAACGAGTATCTATATTGAAGGGAAAAAGGAAGAGACTATCTCGAAAAAAGAAGAGATTAGCTTGAAATTAATAAAAGTATGCATATCACACTTCATTATTATTTTATGTCTTAATTTTTGTTATGCGTTAATATCATGTAAAATATCTAAATTTTTATTTATAATAAGCAATAAAATAATAATTATTATTAACTAAAAATATTTATTAATTGTTTATATATTTATATAATTATAAAATATATTGTGATTATTTATGTAGAATATGGCTCGACTGTTCTCGAACTTATCCGCTACATACTAAACTAGAACGCGGCGTGCACGCCGACACTGTTTTGTTTATATCTTTTGAACAAAGTGCCTTACCATTCCAAAGTTTTGGAATTAATATCATTATTGATTATACTTCACACTGTCGAAATATTAAAAAAAATCAAAACAGTCCAAATTGCAAAAAAAAAGTTGTTGTTGTTTTCAAAAAAATGAATTTTTTAATGTTAAAAACAAAAAATTTTATATTTTAATGATGATTTTCTTAAAATTGGAGAAAAATCACTTCAAGAAAGTGTATTTAAATATTTTTGTCGTTGGGTGGCAATACGTTAAAAAAATAATTGCAAAGTCATGAGAGCAAATAAGCGAAATTTTCAAAAATTCGTACAGTCAAAAATATGCAATTTAAACAAAAACGCAAAAATACGTGTCGATTTATTTTCAATAAAGAACAGTAAAAAAAATAAATCATATCATTTTTGTATCATGGGTGTAAATTTTGCATGGAATGCCCCATATATATATATACATATATATATANTTTCGTTTTTTTTTTGGTAAACTAAGATGAAATGTTGAAACTGAATGTTATAGGGGAATATATATATATATATATATATATATATATTAACACTTCGTAACTAAGCAAGGAGCCAAACAGATTTTTATACTTTTGAATGTAATTAGAAAGTATAAGAAAACTTTAGAGTGAGCCCAAGTTCGAAGACATTTCCAACTAATGAGCCCGACTCATCTCTAATCGTGAAACTCGTCTCTCAGTAGGTGAACCCCTGCTCGTTTCATCTCCATCATATTTCTTCTATAAATTAACGGTTTAGAGAAATTGTTCCTTGGCGAGCTATTGGCGAAAAACTGGTCTGATGACCTTGTCCAGCCACCTGAAGTTCTCCTTACGGGAATAACATGGTGTTTCCCTGGGTTAGAAAAATGACGTCTGGTGTATTCTGCTCGAAATGAAACTAAATTATTTCGAATAATAGTGTGAAATAGTGAAGATGCAATGTACGGTTAACCCCAGTTTCACGAAAACGGAACTGAAGTTCCGTTTCGTAGTCTGCAGTTGCAATGTCATTTCTAGAAAACAAGTTCCGGCGTTTATCTATCTAGTTAACTTTTTTACACTCGTGCGATCAACAGAACAGACAATGTCACATTATTCCGTTCGTTTAGCGCTCATTTTTAGATTCGGAGGTTCTGTGTTTTCTTTCTAAGATTTTACGGTTTCTAATCTGAAAAATGTTCATCCAGTTTCTTCGTTGTTTTACAAGAACTTTTGAATTTGCGTTTTTAAAAAAATTCTGAAGCATAAAGTGGAATTATTATACATTTTTAAAAAAAAATTTATTTTGAAGTGAAGGATGTCATTGTGGAAATATATAAGTTCCGTTGTGGGTCGTATTTTGTCCCATTTCCATCGGGATGAAACTAATCGCGAATTAACTATTCACGTTACAACGGGTGACCGTAAAAAAGCGGGCACAGATGCTAACATTTGGATAATCCTTCATGACGAAAACGGACAGTCCACTGATATCATTAAATTAAACAGAACTTTAAAAAATGACCACGAAAGGGGGCAAAAATGCACCTTTTTTGCTAGTTCTGGAAATGGTTTTGGCCTTCCACTAAAAGTAAGTTAAGATCATTTTTTTTTTCTTTTTATTTAATATTTTCACGTTTCTTGTAAAAGATTAAGTCATTTTTGTTACTTCATCTATACTACCTTCTTATTTATACTACCTTCAATATTTCTAGTAAAGGGGTTAATCATTTTTGAAGCTTTTAAAAATAACATTTGCTATGTTGATTTTTTTTTACTTTATGGTAGTCTTCAATTATAAATCAAAAAGTTTTCGAAAATATTCAATGAGTAATTTTATAAATTACTGTTACGAATTTTTGATGTAATAGTGTGCTTTAAAAAATTAATAATATTCAATGAGAAATTTTATACATTAATTTTACGAATATTTGATGCAATAGTGTGCTTTAAAAAATGAATAATATTCTAATTGGTTATGTTACTCTTTGATCGAAATATTATTTTGAAATATTAATTCATTTTTTTAATTAAATATTCAATACTTATTATATTGAATATTTTAGGTAAGTACTCAAAATTTTTTAACAATTGTTTAAAACATTTAAGTTACGTTGAGTTTTTTACTCTCTTGTATCTGTTAAATAGTATAACGTTTGAAAATATTCTTCATTGTATTTCAGGAAATGATAGTACTGATTTTTGATGTAACAAAAAATATTATATTTTAATATTCTATACTTGCATCTTTTTTAAAGTGGGTCACTTTTAAGTCATTTTTTTTAATACCGCACTCATACTGTATATTTTTTACGCTAATAATTAATTGTATCATTTAGCAAGTGTACAAAAAACAAATTCGAAATTATTTAACGAGATATTGAAAAAAATTGGAAAACTTCGTTAATAGTATTTTGCATTTAAAAGATTCTTTCTTAAACAATCTATCATAAGACCCAATACCTTTTCCTTTACCGTTTGCAAAAAATTTTGATTTATCTATATATCTTCAATTAAGTCTTTTTATCTTCTTCTTTTTTTGTCATTTTCCAATGCAATCTGTTTTTTTTTTTAGTTTTAGTTATATATGAAAACTTTATTTAATATCAACTTTCCCATAATTTTCTTTAAATTCCTTTACTTATGCTTTTTTTTATTGATTCTCATATTTGCGTATTTTCTTTTAAATCTATACAACCTTTTTTGTTAAAAAAAACTCTCTCTGTAAAGTTGTTATGTTTTTTACATTATTTTTGAATGCATGAAGCCTATTTCGAAAATCAACAGATTTTTTGAAAGAGTTTGGAATACAACCACACGTGATAGATTTTTATTACTTTTTATTGTTATTTTAATAGATATTATTTCAAAAAAATTCTATCCTTTAGAGATCTAATTAACTTTACAGAGAAGGATCAGATTTCGGTTTCGTTTTTTCCCGTTTAATTTTTAACTTTTTCCCACGTTTTTTCAACATGGAGAGAGGCTAGACAATCAGCTATCAATCAGACAGCTAGACAATCAGTTGCTATCAGCGAAAGCAATGTATCTCAGAAACTAATAATGATGACTGTTTGAAGCTTAAAATGAAGTTTTTCAAATATTTTATTTTTATTTGTTTTTGATAAATAGAAGAAAAACAATTCTATTGTAGTGCATTAAATTAAATAAATAAATAAAAATCAACAATTCTAAAAATTTAGCTTTCGTTAATAGCAAAAACTGTTGACAAAGTATAGTAGGGAATTTGTTTTTAAAAGAAATAAAAAGCTAATAAAAATAGCAATATTGAAGCTAACTACGTATTTTGAATTTTATTAAAAATAAACACAAAATTATTTTAGAAAATTTATGAAAATTTTTATTTCTCTAAAATGGCCCACCAGCGAAAAATTAATAAATAAAATAACTGATAAAACAAATAAATAATTAATCAAAATTTCGTTTGTAATTTTTTAGAAGTATCAAAAATATAGCCCGGACACTTTAATAGTTACAATCGTTAAGAGATCATACCATACTTTGGCAGCATTATTCATTATTATCTCTGATATTATATACATTTAATATGAATGTTTTTCAGATGTCTGTTTAGGAAAATGATTGGGTAATTCGGGAGCATTGTGCGAAAGCCGGGTTTTTTCGATTTTTGTCCTTTATGAAGATAAAAACTTTTAAAAAAAGATAAAGGTGTTTATTTAAAAATTTATTTCAATCCATTGTGTTAAATTATTTTTCATTTATTTAATTGATAAGGGATACATTGTAATTTGTTGGCTTTTTACACGTAATAGGATATTTTTATGATTTATATATTGCAGTAAAATCTACAAGACTCAAACTATTGAATTTGCCATAAAACTGTTCGAATGTTGACTGGAATCGAATTTCTTACCTTTCTTATAATTCATCGTTGTAATTAAAAATTTCGACTAACGAGGGTAAATCCAATTATATTTTAAGTAAACAGTCGCTCGGCAAAGTATAGAAACAGAAAAAAAATAACGTGAAATATTATTCCTTAAAAGTAATTGTATCAAATATTGCCCAATATATTAGGTCTCAAGTGGTTAAATGTTTTTGAACGAAGATCAAATATTTTACGGTATTTGCTTAAATTATTGCAAAACCTCCGCTTTACAAACTATTCTATTGGAACGAATCGTGTTTTGAAGAGGCACTATACTGAAATTGCGAGAAAAAAAACATGCAAAACATAAATGACAAGAATTTCTCTCCTTTTATTTATCTTAATCTTGATCTATCTTTGCCCTCCAGACAATTAACAACCTTGACAATTTTAAATGAATTTCATTGAGTAGAAGAAAGGAATCGACTTAAAGGGCTTCCTTTTAAATTTTTTAAAACGAAATTTGAATAACAAATATTTTTAAAAAAACACCATTGGGTGCTATTAACACATACTTAATTGTTTACAAATATAATTCATGTTAATTATGGTTATTATATTGTTCAAATTCTGTTCAAGTTGATTTTTGTTTTCAACAATATTTAGTTTATAACATTAAGTAATGAAAAACAATTGAAAAAAAAAGATTTAAAAATTATATTCTAGAAACCTTTTTTTTTATTTATTTAAAAGACGCATATTTATTTAAACTAGACAGTAAAAGGTGGATTGTTTGCTACACGGTGCTTAATTAATCGATAGAATGTTATTTTCTTTCATTAAGATGATAGAATTCGAATATGATTAATTATAAAACTAAAATGAAACTTTTTTTTGCAAAATGTAAAGAATTTTTAAAAGAAATATTTTAAAAAAATTCAATATAATGTACGTGCCCATTGAAACTTCACTTACAGTTTTTACAATTCTTTGTTATTCTACCTTTGTCTGAAAAAAAATAAACAAGAAGAAATTTAAATCGTTTTAATTGTGAATTTTGTAGCTTTCCATAAGTAACAAAATAAACATGGCTTATTTTAATTGTTTTAATTATGAATCGTATAACTTCTCTATTTTTTTAATGGTAATTATTTTACTTTCATCTAAACAAAATAAGCATTAGCAAATTTGAATAGGACTCTAAAACTTTTTGTAAATGCTTTACAATAGCAAAATTATTCAACCTTTCTCTAAAAAAAAATTCGAAAAAATTAGATTTTTTTTTTTTTTTTAATTGATAAATTTTGCAGCTTTTCATTATTTTTTTACAATAATAATTGTTCTGTCTTTCTTTGAAAAATAAACATTAATCAGGGGTCTGTTTAGAAGAAATTTGGGTCCCTTCACAAAATATCTTTTCATAAAAACGGACCCTTCACGAATTTTCTTTTTATCCGACCCTTCACAAATTTGTTTATCTTCATTATTGCATTAATATTTTTTTATTATAATTTTGCAGTGCCGAGCATAATCTTGTATCTATTTACAATTTAAGAACTCCTTGAAAAAGTTTTTTGCAATAACCGGACCCTATTTGCACAAATTCATAAAAGCGGACCCTGGTTGAAAGAATGTAAGCAATTTTTTCACAATTTCACGAAAACCGGACCTTTCACAAAATGTCTCGACAGATCCCTGTTAATTAAATCTGTATAACTAAGAAAACCTGAAGAAGAAAAAAATCAGCTCTTTTACATACTTCTCTAATTGTTATTTCCTTCGTTTCAACTTTTTCTAAAGCTTCTATTAAATTATTTTCCTCCCCTTTCTTGATTTCACGAGAATATAAAGATTTATGAACCTCAAAATATATTATACAACCTTCAACATTTCGGCATTGTAGTTCAATAAGCTGGACAATAAAAACTGAGATTAGTATTAAAAAAACGAAATTAAAAATTATCTTGCTTTCTTAGTGAGATTTTCCCTTTGGAAGAAAAATTAACAACGCCTCTTTACAATAATAAAACAGAAACTCGCAAAGATTTTGTAAGATTTTGTAAGAAAGAAGATTTTTGTAGACCCCCTTAAATGAGATCTTTTTTTCCGTCGAGTGTGCGCATTGAGTCGAATTTTTCTGCTGTTGTGGATTATTTCGAAATTATTTTAAATTCAAAATCAATGTTTCGTTGTAGATCGAATTATGGCGTGATTCCTTCGGCCTCGGCCACAGTTGGTTCTTAGAGAAAATCGAAGTGGAAGACAAAGTGCATGGTGGCCACCACGTGTTCCCTGTCCATCGTTGGATAATGCCTGAAAGACATTATATGATTCGGGAATATGATTGCTGTTTACCGCAACACGATGAGCACCAGGAACAGAGAAGGACAGAACTAAAACTCTACAAAAAGATGTATCAGTACGAGCAACGCATTCAAGATGGTCCAGTTCAAGTAAGTCTGCCTTTTATTCTGAAACCAACGAGAATTTTGGAGGATTTAATTTGAGGCGTTGATATCATTTCGTCAAACTGCGCACCTCCTTAACGACAAGTCCCGCAGTGGGCTGATCGTAAAGACACCGAACCGAAGTCAAGCAGAACTGGCTGCTGTCAGTAAGCGGGTGGGTAACCTCTTTGATCAGCCTGCGTAGGGAACGATGGTGTGTGGTATTGGTCTTCGTTAAACTGCTCTACAGTAAAGTGCTCGACTTCGCGTTCAGGTCGTTGGGCTACCAAAGCAGGGGAGCCATCCCCTCTGTAGGGGATCAAAATTGCCATGGTATGCCTTCGGATCATCCTCAGGGACGTTTCCCAGACCGTCGCAAATAGCCCATTGTGCTGCTCTAGTGCGGCGTAAATAAAGTACCTGCCTACCTTAAAGGCAACTATTTTAACGATTGGGCTAGTACCGTATTTTGGTCTTCAACCGGTTGGTTGCACTATACAGAGTGTTACAAAATGAGTGGTCAAAACTGGGCACATTATAAGGATTGAGAATAGCAAAGCTATCAGACGAATCTGACTTCGTCTCTCCACTGATGGAGTGGCCATTCCTGAACATTTGAACTGGTGTTTTTATTCATCTTAATTTTATGTTCTCTAACGATTATTGATGATAATTACACTATTTTAGTTCCAGAAATAGACTCTTCATTCTAAGCATTTGGCAACTGAATTGCCAATTAGATTGCAACCTATGGGCAATTGAGTACGATTTTCGATAGTAATCATTGAAAAAAATCAAATAAAACGAAATTCAGGTAATTTACTTAAAAGTATTGGCTCTAATGAGCACGAGCAGTCGATCAGTATTCGGGAGGCTCCCCCCTAACTTATTCTAATGATTTGCCAAGTTACGATGCCAATTACATTGCAAACAACGGGCAATTGAGTATGATTTTCGATAATAATCATTGAAAATATTAAATTAAATGAAATTCAGGCAATTTACTTTAAAGTATTGGCTCTAATTGGCACGAACAGTCAACTGTCATTCGGGAGGCTCTCCTAGCTGTGTGCGCTCTCATTTCCTGCCATACGTTGCTGTGTAATACTCAATCTTTATGAAGTGCGCTACCTCCTCTAACAGTTTTGAACACTAATTTTGTAACACCACGCATAAGTTTTTAAATCAAAAAGGTGAGTTAACTCCAACCGTTTACTGATGCAAACAAAAACAATATTTTAAAAGTGTATTAAGTAAGCTATTACAGCTGCATTCAACTCCCCTAGCAGCAAAATAACTTGGGCCCTCATTGGAGCAATATTCATGAATGTCAACTCAATAGGGGTTCAAAGAGCCATTATTTCCCCCAATATTAGCCCTAAATAGAATTGTCCAATTTACTCGATATTTTGCAGCCACTTTACAACCAATATCGGCTCTATATAGAATTATCAGATTCACCTGATATTTTATATTCATTGACCAGCCAATATAAGTCCTGAATTAAAGGTTGATATTCCCCCTATATAAGACCAATATTACAAAATATAAACATCCTAATATTGGTTCCTCGGTATGTTCATATAGAACCCATATTGAGCCAATTGTGAGCCCAACTGGGGCCAGGGTAAAATTGTTACTAGAGTCCAATTGTTACCTCACTATGGGTCATCGCCCCCTTGTTCGTTATCACTCGTCAAATTCCAATAATCACTACGGCAAATGAATTAGAATTTCAATGCTCTTCATATTCACATCTACTTCTATTAGTTTCAATTAGATTTATAAAAGCAATATTGTAAGCTCTTAAGTGTAGAACCTACGATCAAATGTGCCCTTCGAATACTGAATTTACCGCCTAAAATTGACTACTAAAACCCACTTAAATAGCATAAAATAAGAGTGCCAATCGTTTTTGTAAGAGCCCCAGGTATTTTAGCAGTTTTGGGTATCATAGAATTTGCAGGTGCAATGTAGACTTTGTGGTAATTGTGAAAGGCCCGAGTGTGTGAATGTCAACATCCTACGATGAATGTTGATATGTACATTCATATGGTTGCGTTGGTGAAAGCACGAAAATATTTATTGAATTCATTAGTTCTCTTTAACGCCAGCAAACATCGACATTCAGCATGCACCTATAGTAAATGCTGAATAAAATTGGTTTGCTAAACATAACTTTTTTTATTTTCACCAGAACTTATCAACTTTCAGCATGCACCGATGATGAATGTTGAATAAAATTGTTTAGTTAAATTTAATTTTTTCTTACTTATGTCAGAAGATGTTGACATTCAGAACTCTCCCACAGTGAATGTCGACATTTTACGGCGTAGGAGCCAAATAGTAATAATGGCCGAATTTCGTAAATTTCTCAAAACGAAAATTGGAGGAAATAGACATTTGCTAACTATCGGACTCTCATTGTAAGATTTAAACTAATTCCGAACAATAATTTGTTGTCTCTTTTAAAAAATTGTTTTCGAAATACTTTAATTTATAAAGCCTTTTATTAATTACTGCTTTATTAAAAATATTGTAAAAAGGCTACATTTTGTTCCTCTTAAAATGATTATTTGGCAGGAAATGTGAAATAAATGAGATAAAACTTACTACCCGGATATCAATCTCAAAAGGAAATTTCACCAAAAACAAAATTTTCTCATCTCTCTGAAGTAGATTATTATTTATGAAATTTGGGAATTTGTTCGATTGATTTTAGAAATTAAATACTAACTTATCTATGGTCCATTCCATGCAAATATTTTATAAATTTAAAGATTTGTTCGGTAATTTTTAGGAAATAAAATAAATTTAAATTTATGTATGGCAACTTCCAAATAGCGATTTTACAAATTTGGGAATTTGTTCGATTAATATTAGAAATGCTCGAATAATATTTAAATTAAAAGTTATCTATGGTCCATTCCATGTAAACATTTTAAAAAATTTAATATATTGCTTGATATTTTTAGAAACTAAAATAAATTTAAATTTATTTTAATTTCAAAAAATAAATTTAAATTTATTTATGGTCACTTTCAAATAGAGATTCTACGAATTCGGGAATTTTGTTTGATTAACTTTAGAAATTATATAAAAAAACTTATCTATGGTCCATTCCATGTAAATATTTTAGAAATTTAAAAATTTGTTTGATAATTTTTAGAAAATAAAATAAATCTGAATTTATTTATGATTCCTTCCAAGTAGATATTTTACAAATTCGAATATTTGTTTGGCTATTTCTTAGAAAATACAATAAAACTTAATTCAGGCATCTTCCAAATAGAAATTTTACAAAGTTTAAGTACATCTTAAATTTGGTTTCAGTAAATAGAACAATATATTTTAGATTTTAATAAGTATTTTTGTTTTAAAAAACAATAAAATTAAAATATATTAATAATTGCAATTTAAATTTTTAAAAGTTTTTTTTTAAAAATCTTTATAACTACTAGAGCTAAATACAAATTAAAATATGGATTTTTTAATACGAAATAATTTAAAAATTGAATTGTTCAATCTAAAGCATAATATTTTCCGTTACATCAAACATGAAACATTTATATTTTTTTTTAATAAACGCAAATATTTAAACTTATTTCTAAACATTAGTTCAAAAAATGAGCTTCTCATACCTTTAGAAAATATGGAAAACAGTTTAATAAACTAAAAACTTAATTTAAGCCCCTAGTCGTCAATGGCAAAACAAATTATCTATTTAAAATAAAATTTAATTGCTTTTATTATTTAGAAAAAAATTATAATATTATGTAAAGATAATTAAAAAAGCGAACATGATATGTGTTATTAATTGTTAAAATGTTTTAAGATATTTTTATTTACTTAAAATATTGTACCATTACTAGTAATAAAATAATAAGAAATAATTTTGTAAAAAGTGTCCTTATTATAGTAAGAGTTTTATTTCGATTTATATGAGTATCAATTAGTACTTTGCTGTAGGGTTCGTTAAATAATGATTTAATAATGAGTCAAAACATACAGATTTTTATTGTATGAAACAAATTATTTTGTAACAATATCTTAGTTTAAAACATCATTTTAATATGAGATCGTTTAAATTTTTTATTGTTTAACGCAGATTTAAAATTTATAGTAATTAAATATATTGTTGCGTTAGTTTCAATTAGCGAAATTGCACAAGTACTTATGGTGAAATAAATTACAGCACTTTATGAAATGACTTTTTAATTTTACTTTTTTTTTTCTAACGGATTTTTTTAGAATGCAAACTAAGAATAAAAGGAAAATTTAAACCAATCACGGAAAATAGCTTTTTTTTTAATTTGACAGAAAGAAAGAAAAATAATTAATTAATTTTCCATTTTTTAAACGGTTTTTCAGTCTTTAATATTTATGCATTTCTATTTAATTTTCGTAAATTTAAATGATACACTTGCAAGTATTGAATCAACACACTTTTGAATGCCGTAACAGAGTTAGAAATGTATTATGATTTTTCTTAATAATATTTCAATTGTTTTCAATTATAATGTTAATAAATATAGTGTTAATAAATATAATATTTTAATTATATTTATGAATTTTAACTGATTACAAAATTAAATGTATGTAAAAATACGTGAAGTATCTTAAAAAAGATTTTTTAAAAATTCAGATTTAAAATAAATAAACTGGTTCATTTATTTATTTTATTTTATTTTATTTTATTAAAAAAATTGAACACTGCTTTTCATTAAGTTATAAGTGCGACATTTACATTTTTTTCTATATAAATTACTTAAAAAAAAACATCAACAGAGGCCATCACAAAGTATGCACTGCATACTAATTGTTATAAAACCGGTTTCTTTTTCGTCTTAAATTTTCGTAACACGAGTCGTTGATAAAACTATCTTAGCATGAAGTGATATCTCTAAGGTAGAGATGAAAAATGACTTATCCATTTTATCTCTCTCTCTTTCAAAGAAAGAATTGACCTTGCAAATTCTCACCTGTGAGGCTGTCAGGTTTTCACTGCTTTCGTTTTAATCTGCGATTACAGTTTCGGAAATATTTTTTTCTTCTTCTTCATGTTTATTTAACTGGTAAAATTTTTATATCCTCTGCATTATTTTCTTCTTCTTTTTTTTTAAATGAAAGCTAGAAAAAAAATATTTTTCAATCGATTTTTCTGTTCAGTTTGAGTAGTAATTAACGTTAAAATAATTTTTAAGTTTTTTTTCATGTTACATATTTTTTTCTATAGTCGTGGCAAAGCTAGCCTGAAAGCATTATCAAGGCTAAGACAACCTGTTTACATGATTTTCTAATAGTGTGCCAAACAACGCTTTTTGTCGCTAAATTTGGCGACGTTTTGAATTGAAACATAATTTACGTTGAATAACAATAAAACACTTTTACTAAACAAATGTCAAATATAAATCAATACTTACATTTATTCCGATTTACTGGAGGCTGCCTTATTAATAGGTTTTCCAGTTAAATGAAAAGTATATTTATAAGTAGCTAAATTAATAAGCTAATATTACTACCCGTATCATCACTATCCATTATAAAAAGAATAAATCTATAGCAATAAGATTCAGTAGTTCCGAAAAGTACTAAAGTTGGAAAAGGAATAAATATTTCGTAATAAAATTTTAAACTGCAAGAAAGAAAATTTTTCCCAAAGAACATATTCTCTATCACTGGAATACCGCTCCAACATATCGCATAAAACAATAATAATCATAATCGTTTTTCTTTTATCGTTTGCTACTTAACATTTGTGGCAGTGAAAAAAGTTTAAAATGGGGTGCTTCTGAGACACGGAGCTTTCGCAACTCGCTCCAAGCTGCTCTGACGATACCGTTCGAAAATAGATTAAAAACTTTTAGCGGTTCACGTCTTAAAGAATGGAGATATTTCTTCTATTTCTTTTTGTTATCGATTTTGTGTAGAATTCAAATGCTTTGAAAACATAATTTAGTGTAGAATTCGAATGTTTTGAAAACAAACTTTTCATTTCGCTGCACCGACCATATTTTTTGTCACTTTTTCCTCAAAATGAAAATTCGTATAGAATCATTTAGAAAGTTAGAATTTGATTGGTCTATTTTAAAGTAGAACGATAAAGCACACTCAGCAAGAATGTTCCCTAAATTTGTTAAAATTAGGAACTGTATTTTATTATTGGTTGAGATTTTAACTATTTAATGTAGTTTAATTTTCTGGTTAAAATATTTAGTATAAAATATTGATAAAATTTTTATTATGAAACAAAGAATAATGACGTCATGTGAAAATTCGATTAACAACCGTTAAACTTCTGATATGTTGAATAGATTAGGAGCGAACTGTAATTAAGAGCTCCATGTCCCAGAACTTATCTACTATTTAAAATTTCAAAAAAAAAATTATCGAATATTTAAGAGTGAGGCATCAAACTATAATGAAACGTATCGTAGTTTTCAAATATATAATTATTTATTTCTCTGTATCTTAGTTGGTTAAAAAAATGGAAATATGAATTGAGCAAATAAAGAAGCTGAATTATGCAAAAAAGGTCATAATAAATATATCGGATCTAATGCATAGCAATAAACGAGACAAGCTGTTTCTTTTTTTGTCACCAACTTATGAAATTTTTTCTGTGTATAAATTCAAACGATTTTCAGGTTACAACTACTATTAATCTTAACGATAAAAACTTTTCTTTTAATAAGATCCTAATTATCATCGGTAATGGCGGAACATTTAACGTCGTTATATAAACAATGCTAAAAGTTAGGTTTGTTGTGAATCTTCTCTGCCCTGCCAAAATCGGATGCGTATGATCGTGCAACGCTTTGCTACTCACTAAGTAAAGGGTTGAGGACAAAAAAAAAACAACAAAAAAAAAACCTTTTTTTGTGTGTGACCGGATTGTGCAAATTTTGGGCTGTCTTTACAATATTTAGTACTAAAATTATCGTACATTGGTGCGGAAACGTTTGGAAATAAAGAACAATGGCCTTTATCTTCCATTTCGAACAAAAAATGCTGGGTCAGCCATTTTTCTTTCACAGTGTACCTTATTCAATTCTTATTCCAGTTATTTTAGTAAGTAATTGGATTCTTCCAATTACTTAGTTTTTCTTAAATGGCCAGACGGGGCAAAAAAGAATTTTTCTCAAGGAAAAGTAATAGATATACTTATCTATTTTGATTGATGAATGTAATTGAATTAATTGCGATTACTTATCCCCAATCACCTTTGAAAAAGTAAAATAGAGATATATTTCTTAATTATTCCTTAAATTTCCTAATTCAATTTAAAACTTACGATGAAGCAGAAAAACCTTATTAATGATTAAATTATTCAGAAAACTGAAATGATTAAATATAAGTAAAGTATAAACAAGGAGAATCGTTATTGATTATAACTTTTTCAATTAAATCTCAAACAGAGCCTATTCACGGGTAATTTCATATTCCTTCTCGTTAAAATTCATAGTTATAATATCTCTCTAATTTTTTTTTTTTTTTTTAACTCTTCGCATTTTTTTTACATTTGCCTGATTCGACTTTAAACTTATAACAGTGCGCATTGCTCCCCGCTAAAAAAAAAAACTTTTTTTTTTTAATTTATTGTTGTTGTTGTTGTTGAAATACAGGAAATAAACACTTATGTGAAACAGACCTCCAGATATGAGATTTCGTACTGTGTTTTTGGGGAGCGGGGAGCTAATCTGGACAGCTGAATTATTATCGCTCAAAATTTCGCAGTAAACTTTGGCAGCATTAAGCACGTAGATATAGCTTTCCCTTTAGGGGTGTTCCGAAATTCAAAATTGTCAAATTGAAATCAGGAAAAATTTGAAATTGGTGACTGATACTTATGCTTTATACATTTTTAAATGGAAATCGGTAACGTTTACATTTTCAAAACTGAGTGATTAAAACTAAATATTATTTTCAATCTGAATTAGAAACAATAAATTTCGAGAAAGAAACTAAAAATGCGATTTTCTTATAACAAATCTCTATATAGATCTATATATCTCTCTGTTGAAAAAATTAATACCCAAATTTTTTTTCATAGACAGCTTTGGTATGTTATTATGAATGATACCTGAAAACTATCCTTCTGTTCTCTATACACTTTTCCCCTTTTTGAGGGAAATGGGGGTGATTTTAGGGGAAGAAATGAGCATATACTCCGTGAGACATATTTTTCGATGTATATTTTACCCGCTGAATTTAATGAGCCCTAAGACGATTAGTCTAATAGTTTAAAAAACATAAGGTTTTTATGTATCAGGAATGAGATTTTTCCGCTTTTTAGCGGATTTCCGCTTTTTTTACTTTTGTGTCTCGAATATCAACCTTTTTATCAAAAACTCCGATTATCTAAAATTTTCACTTTTTTTTTAAAATTTATTATATTAATATTATATTTATTAATTAATATCTTGCTTTTTCGAAAAATTTAGCCGTTGAAATAAAAGAATTATATTTATTTTCGATTTTCAAAGATAAACAGAGAATTCAACGTACATATCTGTCAATTCTTTCACATTTTTACATTTTAGCTATTTTCGCCGCTTTCACGCACAGAAGATACGATTTTCCTCTTTTTTTACCCGCCCGCCGGATAGTTCATATTTTCGTAATTCAAACGTCACTTCCTCAAACAAGCTTTTTAAAAGTCTCAAGACCGGAATTTGCTAACATTTCGATTCTTATTCACGCGATTTGAATATACTGCAATATGATTCTTATTTACGAGATTTAAAAATCCAATATCACTATTTGTATTTACGCTTTTTTAAAAACCTATGCAACGATTCGTATTCACACGGGTTTAAAATCAATTATCGCGATTCTTGTAAGAAGTAGGTTTTTTTAAAATTAGTTAGTATAAATGTGACTGTTTTTCTATCAATAATTATTAGTATATATAAGCATATTCAAAACTTACATTCTGTGCTTGAAAAGAAGAATGACAAAGGCAGGTAAAGAAAGAGAAAATAGGATTTGTGAAAAGATGTTTGAAGATGGGCTAACGACTAAATTAATCACCAATCTGTTTCCCCTCATTCACAAGCTGCATTACGAGAAATTTGACCTTGTTAAAGGATTTTTGCTTGTTTTGTAAAACATAAAGCGTTTGAAGCAAATTAAGCAACAAAAAAAAGAAAGAAAGAAAGATATAGCAAACAAAAGCAATCACTTAAAAAATTATTAAATTTTTCGTGGAAGTTTTCGTGGAAGTAAATTTCAGCACCGAAATTTAAGAAATAATGCTGCTGTTATTTATGATATAAAATGCGAAATTCTTATCATATGAAAAATAATTATCTAAATAGTTGCTGATTATCATGTAATTTTTTCAAACTAAAATGGCAATTTTTGTTGTTTGTTATCTTAAATTGTCAGGAATTTATTATTAAACGATTGCACACGCGTAAAATTTACTCACGTGGAAATTCAGCTTTTTTGCTTTTTGGCCAATCTCATCCCTGATGTATAAAAAGTACAAATGTGTACTTGATCCAACTTACTCATCTGATTGCTATCTGAAACAATAAGTCATCGTTTCCGATGCATTCGTGTACTATACACGAGCCAATAGAACAATAAGTTCGAAAGTTGAAAGAATTTTTGTGTATAAACAATGCTTCTTTTAAAACGGACTGATGTATACACTTTATATTGCTATCCAGCAACTATCTGAATATGTCATTTCATTTTCGAATGCAATTTTGCACGCAATTGTATGAAATTAGTACCCAGATGATTTGATTAATAGTTTAGAAGTGTTTTATGTACAAAAAGTACAATTTCGTACCTGCTCTTATTTTCACACCCTACATTGCTATACAGGAAAGTGACGTACTGTTTCCTATGCATTTTGTCGCATCTAATCAAATGAAACAAAATGCGAACCAAGAGACCCTCCCTGGCCGAGCGGTGTCGCCAACCAAACTCTGTGCAAAGCGTGGAGGTAGCGGGTTCGAATCCCGCCGCAATCCTGGGTGTATTCTTTGTGATGTCTTTCTCTGAATTGTTGACAATGTCCTTCTACTTGACAAAGGTTTATAAGGCTAATTTGAGCACACAAGCCTGCAAATGCATGTAATTTTAATAAAGCAATAAAGCATGGGAATCAAAAATGTTTTTATAAAATGTATTATTTTTGAATTGCACTTATTAAGCAGAAAACCTTCATAACTTCAAAACTATCTGTTCTATCAATTTAAATTTTATCTCATTCAATTCTGTCTAAAACAATTCTCAAAAAAATGTAATTTTAATGTTTTAGCAGTTATTTTAGCCACTTTCAACTACTTATCGTTTTTAATACTTCGGATATAAAGAGTGTTTTGAGATGTTATAAACATATATTTAATAATCAATTCTTTTATTAAGTTGTGATATTAATGTTTCTCTCTTTAGATTAAAGATATGCCTGCTGATGAACAATTTACCGGCGAATATAAGGTAAGAATATTTTTTTAGATCTTTTCAGATAAATTAGTTCAATGCTAAATCAAAAAGTAGTGCTAAATCAAATAGTCTTGCCTTAGTAAAATCATCTAAAATGAGTCTCCTTGACATGAGTCTCATAAGAAAGATTCAAATTGAGACAGAATTAAATTGGTAGCAAAATTATAGTTAATTATAATAGAACGGTTAGTTCTAAGAACAAAAAAAAGAAAAAAAAATTAAAATCCTTGCAAATTCTATGGTTTTTGATAGTTCATTTTCAAATAAATACTCAGTTATTCTTTTGAGATAAATCTTAATTACTTTTATTTCAAAATGAAAACATTTTAAGAGATTATATTAATTATTCAATTACGAAAAATATTTATTATTATCTGCGTTAACATTTGTTACCTACTTTAATTACAGTTGCTTTTTTTTAAGAAGAATTAATTATTTATAATAAAATAAGATATAGAAAAAAGTTTAAAAACTATGTGTTTTTAAAAATTTGGTAAATCCTAGTCTTATGTTACACGCAAAAACGTAAATTTCGAAAGGGGAAATTTTCGGTAACGAAAAGGAGTGCTATCGTTTATTCTAAAAATTATGCTCCGCGACTGATATTTTTCGAGACAGAAAGCACCAAAAAACTACTAAGTACATTTATTTGGGAAGATTCATGACCGCGTGTCCAGCGTGCCTGACTCTGAAGCCAATGGTTGAGGGTTCGAATCCCGCCCAGGGCATGCATGTTTCTCTCTGTGTTGTTTTTGTATGAATATATTTTTGAACGAATATCTGTGGCAGTGTGGCGTGGGCTGCTGCTCGCCTCAGAGAGTCTGGTTTAGAGATGGCCACTGGGTAACGCTAAATGAGCAACACTTCCGGTATAAAGAACAAAACTTACAGAGCGTTCGCCTTCTAATGAAGTGAACCGAGTTCGAATCCCAGCGATATCTGGTAGATACGAATCCACATCCAGCTTGCACAGACCACAGTGCTGACGTGAAATATCCTCAGTGGTAGACGGATCATGGGTTAGAGTCCCATTGCCGTTGAGCTAACCGTGGGTGGTTTTCCTCTCCATATAACTCAAATGCGGATTAGTTCCCTCAAAAATGCCTCCTCGTAGGCAAATTTCTCCCAATAATTGATCCAGGAGTTTCCTTGTCTTCTGGATTGGGTTCAAAATAACAAGGCTACGGAGTTGAACATTAGTAGTCGTAAACCCAAAAATTAGGTCGGCTGTTCAACGACGGTTATAATATAATAATAAAAGTTCAGTTTCTGCCATTAAAAAAATAATAAATAAATAATAAAAGCATGACTACCGAGATTTATTAACAGTTTTACACGTATATAGGACTGTTTCCTGAAAATTAAGAAGAATACAGCTGAATTTTATCCTCCTGCCGAAAAATAACAAATAGAAAGAGATTACGAACTACCAATATTTTCCTCTCTTCTGTCTCACTTTCGAACATGTAATACGCGATTTTCGCTGCAAGCATGACAAGAATACAATTAGTTTTTCCGGCTTAGTTCACTTCAAAAACTAAGTTCTTTTTTATTCTGGTGTATTATTTTTTTTTTCTTTTTAGTTTTGCGTCTATCAGTTAGTCTGAGTTGAAAAATGGTCGAAATTGCAATCGGCGATAAATTCCGCTCGTCGGGAAACTTGATCCGTCATCCAGAGATCTGGTTAAAATTTGAGTGCTCTAGATAGTCGGAAAGTATTTGGAATTTCAATCCTGCAATGTTAAATAAATATCTGCATAACAACTATTCCCGACCAAAACGGTAGTTTTTGAGTTTTTGTTAATGAAAAAAAAAGAAAACCAAGCATGCAACTGTTTACGCAGGTTATAAATATATTGGCTTTTATTCTGTTTTATTTGTTGCTTAATTAATTTTGTTTTCGGCGCAAGCATAACTTGAGATTGAATAAAATAAGCTGAATTATACTGCCGTGCAATTGGAAAAACAGCGTAGGTGCTTAACTATAGATTTAGATAAAAGTGGCTTGACAACTATTTTCTTTCTGTTGTCAATGCTATGAACCTGAAATATAATTTCAAAAACTTGATGAAACATAATTTATTTTTGAAAAACTCTTTTTTTTTCCCCTTCTTCTTTTCTTCTTTTTTTTTTGCAATATGTAGCTTATGTCAAATATATAAGAATCCCAATTTCGAACTGTTTTGTCGCTTACGTTGATTTTTGAATTGCACGGCAGTATAGTTTTCGAAAAAAAATCTGTTATAAATTAAATTGTGAGATGGTTATCAGAAAAACAAAATTCTCCATTTCTGCACTTAGTTATTTTAAATTGAAAGGTTTGTTGAGAAATACTTGTGCATTATTGGTTAATGCCTACTTTTTCAATTTATTCAATTTATTGTTATTGGAAGAAATATATATGTATACATATTAAATTTTGCTATATTTTTTCTTTGGCATTTTACATGAATAATTTTAGAATAACAACCACAATATTAAATAAATTATTGATTAGATAAAGATATAGTTTACAGGTTTCAAAAATCATCACTGGTTAAAATAAAATGTCCTAACTCTTAGAACCCCTATTACCGTTTCACGGGAACCAGGGGTTCCTAAGAACACCTTTTGAAAACCGCAATCGGAACACAGCTACTGATCGGATCCGTTAGAGGAAGCCTAGGCCTGTAGTAGGCTGTATTGCTGCTGAAAACGAAGATATAGTTTATGAGTACAAAATTCACCCACACTAGTTATGTTAGGTAAAATTTTAAAAAGTGATATTAATTTTGACGTTTAAAATTTTACAGTGTAGTTGTATGGGGCGAAATCATCAAGAAGTTTGAAGGCTCAGAGGACAGAGCGTTTGCCTTCCAATGAGGTGAACCGGGTTCGAATCCCAACAATGGATGGTCGATGTGAATTTCGTTGCACCGACCACAGTGCTGACGTAAAATATCCTCAGTGGTAGATGGGTCATGGATTAGAGTTCCTTTGCCTTCAGGCTAACCATGAGAGGTTTTCATGGTTTTCCTCTCCACGTAACGCAAATGCGGATTAATTCTACCAAAAAGGCCTCCACGGAGGCAAATTTCTCCCAGTACTGGATTCAGGAGTTCCCTTGTCTTCCGGATTGGGTTCAAAATTACAAGGCTACGGAGTTGAACATTAGTAGCCGTAAACCCGAAAAATTGGGCCTGCTCTCCAACGACGGTTATAAAATAAAAACCTAATTGCATCAATAAAGTGAGGCGTAACTGAATTTTTGAAATGAAAAAAGTTCTTTTCCATTATAAAATACATCAATATAGAGCCGCAGTTCTCCTCCCAATGAGGTGACCCAGGTTCACATCTCAGCGGTGGATGGTTGATACGAATTTTGCTCGCATCGATCACAGTGCTGGAGCAGAATATCCTCACTGGTTGAAGGAGCATGGGTTATAATCCACTCGCCGAAGTGCTAAACATATGAGGTTTTCCTCTTCGTGTAGCGCAAATGCGGGTAAATTGTTCCAAAAAGACTAGTTTCTCCCAATGCATGATCCAAGATTTCCCTTGTCTTCTGGGTTTGATTCAAAATTACAAAGCTACGAAGTTGAACATTAGTAGTCGTAAACCCGAAAAATTGGGTCAGCTGTTCATCGACTGTTATAAAAAACGAAGTTAGAAAAGGCCAACAGAATTATTTGCGAACATAAACATTACTGTTATTCATTACTTAAACATTACTGTTCTTCTTACTGTTATTCATTACTACTGTTATAAACTGTTATTCATTACTAAATTGTTTTCATCATTTATTCTGACGAGGAGCGTCGTGTTTGAAAACGTGGTGACTTTTTGTACCATTTTAATTACGAAACACATGAAGTATTTATTCTAGAATATAGAATTATCCGCTTTTAACATTAAGATTTCTTCTCTTCTTTCTTTTCAGTGGGATATAGTGAAATGTAAGAGTAAATGTATGTTGGATACGAAGCTGATTCGATGGACCACGGACAAATGGGAATCCATATGTGATTTGAAAAAAGTTTATAAATTCCATCTGGGAGAACCGGCCTGCTTAGAATATTGGAATGAAGATCGGTGGTTCGGCTTAAGGAGAGTTCAAGGAGTGAATCCTGTTCTAATTAAATTATGCAAGGAAATACCTCAAAAGTAGTTATCGTTCTTTTATAAAAATTCTTTTCTTAGATCTTTGTAAACAATTAAAGCGAATGATATCTTTAAATGTATCAATCATATGATTACAACAAATGTTAAATCTCTTTTAAACAATTATTTAATGCGAAATACTTAAAAACACGACTGTGCTTAAATCGGAATCATTTTAAAAATGATACCAAATCAGGGGTCTGTTTAGAAGAAATTCGGGTCCGTTAACGGACCCTTCACAAAATATTTTAACTTAAAAATGGATTCTTCACAAAATAATTTATCTTTTAATCGGGCCCTTCCAAATTTGTTTATCGTCATTATCATTTTGTTAATCGAATAAACCCCTCCCAGAAAGGGGGGGGGAGAAAGGCAGATGTAAACAAACTAAGTTTTATCTTCGGCAGAAGCTCCTTCCTTTATTCGTCCGAAATGAATATTCTGTGTTGAGCAGTATAGGCTAAATACCAAATATTTGTATGTTGCATGTCTAAAATAGTAGCAGCAATTGCTGTTTATTTTTAAAATTTAATGTTTTTAATTGTAATTTTACAGTGTTGAGCATAATCTTGTATGTCTTTACAATTCAAAAACTCCTTGAAAAAGTTTTTTTGCAATAACGGACCCTGTTTGCACAAATTCACAAAAGCGGACCCTGGTTGAAAGAATGTGACTTAACGTTTATTTCATGTTCACAAATTACGAGTAATTTTTTCACAATTTTACAAAAACGGACCTTTCACAAAATTTCCGGACAGGCCCCTGCAAATTAAAATTGCTCAAATCTTATATTTATTTTTTTATGTCTGATCTCAAGTCAAAATTCCTGATGGTCCCATCAAAATATTTTGATGGTTTATGTTGTTTTCAGTGCGATTCATAATGGTCACCATTTTCCACTATGCATTCATGGTTTTTCATATGCCAACAAACTTCCATCATTCCATGATGGGAAATAGTACTTTAATACTATTATGATTAATCATAAAGAGATGTCTGATTCTCATGGACCAATAATCCACTATGGTTTAATGGGTATTCTCGTTGATTCTCAGGACTATACCATCAAAACCATTTGGGTTTTTTTATGTTGTCCCATTATATACCAGAACGAATTCCTACATTGGGGTGATGGTGGTTCATGATTGTTCCGACATTTGATTTCTAAGACACTATGATGGAAATTTCTGGTGGCTCAACGTGAACAAACCATCAAACCAAGTTGCTATTCTTATGTTGAACCATCATAAATCATTCCGAATTCTTGCATTGGGATGATGGTTACTTATGTTGGTTACCATCAAAAAATATAATGGTAAAAATATTGATGGTTACCATCAAGATTATGTTGGTCCATCAATGGAAAGTCATCAAAAATTTTGACTCGGGTGTGTTACGACTTGAATTATTAATCTTAGGGTTAGAGCTTCAATGATCAATAGAATTTTAATAAATTTAAAAAGCCTAAATGTTTTGATAATTGCTTTCTTTAAACCCATTTTTTTCTCAACTTATTTGAAAGTAAAGTTCTTTTTTTTTACGTTAGTAGATTTTACTGACTATATGTACAAACATGTATTTTTTCAGAATTTTTTCAACAAATCTTCTTTTAAATACCAAGAATACACTACTGATGTAATAAGGACGATATAGTTTATGTGACTATATTAATGATATTAAAAATAATAATGTTCAATGCGCAAGAAAAAGAAAAAATGGGTTATTCTAAAATTCTTTTGATCTAATGATCAGATTTTTCCGTTCTAAGACACAATTTTAACTGCTCGAAGGGGTGATTTCAAATATGCTAATTGCTAAGTGCAGACAATATTCAAAAAGACACAAACACGTTCTTTCTCTGTATAAATATACTTTTTTTTCGACAGAATCAAATTCCGACACCCTAAATATAAGGTATCCGCAATGTCGGAAATATTGTCCCAGCAGTTAAGTTAGAAGAGTGATCCAAAGTTTACATCCCTTAATGTTAAATTTACTTTTTGCGTATTCTTCTATATCTCGAAAAGCTTTTAAGCTAATTGAAAATTTTTTGCACACAATTATAAAATTCGTTTATCCAAAGATAATTCCATGCAATATATTAGCAAATATTTATTAATTTTTTTTTATTTTATTTAATTATGATCAAAATATTTTGTGTCAATGATCAATGTTTTGCATCATTTTAAAGAATATAAGTTTACAAGATAAAATACAAAATTTGAGTGAAATTGGTTGAATAGTTCCTGAGAAATTGAATTTTTAAAAAAATCAGATATTTAAAATTCTATTTCTCAGGAACTATTCAACCAATTTCACTCAAATTTTGTTTTGCTATGTAAAATTATGTTCTTTAAAGCGATAAAAAATATTTTATAACTTACAATTCAAAATTTTTTCAACCATTATTTAAGTAAAAAAATAATCAATATTTGCTAAAAGTTACTTTTCGCATGGAATTATCTTTGGATAAACGAATTCTATAATTGTGTTCAAAAATTTTTCAATTTAATTAAAATGTTCTGGAGATATAATGAAATACTCAAAAAGGTAAAATTAACATTAAGGGGTCCAAACTTTGGAACACTCTCCTGATCAAACTATTGGGAACATATTTCAAGATTGCGGCCAGCCCCTATATCTTGGGGGTCAGAGATCCCTATACGTCAAAAGAAAAGGTATGTTTATTCAGAGAAATTGCGTTTTTGTGCCTTATTTCTTAACTTAATGCATCGTCCGCAATTACTAATTAGCATATGTGAAGTCACCCCTTTGAGGCATTAAATTGAGTCCTAAAAGTTGAAGATTTTATTATTTACAATACATTCGTGCGTTATTCAAAAAGGGAAGAAAAAAACTTACAGGTAGTAAGCAAAAGTAGTTCACGCTGTGACAATAAGCAGTTCAGTAAATATAAGTTCAAATCAGACGCTATATAAATTGAGCACTTAAAATGTAATGTGTGCGATGCTGCATTAAATATTTAATATTGCATCACGAAATAATTTTTTGACATATTGCGATATTTTAACTTATTCACTTTTGTTACCCTAAAAAGTATTTATAAATAACAGTGTAACAGACAATAAAAAAATGTTGAATTATTTTATTAGTTCTTAGTTTAGAAAGATTGCAGATTTTATTTTATTTTACAACCGTCGTTGAACAGCCGACCCAATTTTAGGGTTTACGACTGCTAATGTTCATCTCCGCAGCCTTGTCATTTTGAACCTTATCCAGAAGACAAGGGAACTCCTGGATCAAGTATTAGGGGAAATTTTCTTCCGTGGGGAACTTTTTGGTGGAACTAACCCACATTTGCGTTACTTGGAGAGGAAACCCACGAGAACCTCCCACGGTAAGCCTGACGGCAAGGGGACTCTAGCACATGATCCGTCTACCTCTGAGGATATTTTACGTGAACACTGTGGTCGATGCAAGCCAGATGCGGAATTCGTATCGACCAGCCAAAGTTGGGATTCGAACCTGGTTCACCTCGTTGGAAGGCAAAAGCTCTATCCCCTGAGCCATCACATCTCAGCAGATTTTATTGTCACAACTCAGTGGAAAGCTAGATGAATTCATTGTTTTAGTCTTTGATATTTTTTTTTATTTCAAAGATCTATAGTTTTTCAACAACAGCAAAACAAGAAATAAAAATATTTGATTTTAATTACTTATTTTATTTAAATTTTTGATCACCTTATGATTCATAATAATATTTGGGAGTGAACAATCAAATGCTTACGTGCAAAATATACGTAGCATCCCATAAAGACTGATCTTAATATATATATTTTTAAAATCTTTCTCGAAACTTATGTTAAAACTATACAAGTTATAGTTCGCAAATTATCCAAGTTATAGTTATAGACAAATAATATACAAGTTTATTGTAGTATACAAGTTATAAAATACAAGTTCGTCTTATTCAAGTGAGGAAAAAGGAAAATTCTTAGCGAAATCTGACAGAAAGCAGGATGGAAAACCAGTTTTCTCTTTGATGAAACTTGGTGTTTTTAATAATCGTCTTTCAACAAATTCCTCTGGCAATCAAACAGGCTTTGTCGTTTTTAATTTTACCTTCTCTCGACTGCTAGCATTGCAATAGCATAAAATCCTTCTCGCTGTTGAATCCCATTGATACATATATGGATTCGAACTGTGCACACATGGGTCGCATGGACCACAGCGCTGACGAAAGATTGCAGATGTATCATAGGATAGAATCCCCTTAACGTCGGGCTAAACTAGGAAGTTTTTGGTGTTATCCTCTCTATGCAAATGAGGTCTAGTTTCATCAACGAATCCACCGAGAAGTCCGAATGCTTAATCCAGGTGTTACCTTGTCTTCTGAGTTAGTTCAAAATTACAAGGGTATGGAGTTGAACATTAAAATTAGTCGTTAACATAAAAATGGGTCGGCATTTTTAATACCGGTTATAAAAATAACGTAAAAGCGCGGCCAACGAGCGGCAGAGGTTTAAATTTAAGAATCTTTGAAAATTACTTTTCTCCTTAAAATGACTCATTATCAATCTTTTTATTTGTTTATTAGTTTTGGGGTGACTGCTGAAATGGTTGCACCATTTTTGGAGGAATACACTTTAGAAGAAGCTTTGAGTGCACAAAAGATCTTCATCGTTGATTTGGCTATTTTAAAGGGTACTCAATGCAAAGATGGTCGATTGGTAAGATGTCCCTCAAATTTGGAATAATCATATGTTTATTTCTAATAATAATTGTCGAGATTTACTTTTTATTGTTTGCCGTCAGCCAGGTGGCTGAGCGGTCAGCGTGCCTGATTGTAAAGCCAATGTTTGCGGGTTCGAATCCCCCCTTAGGGTATGGATATTTCTCTCTGTGTGCGATGTGTGAATGTAACACACTCTATGTAAGAATCGTTGCCAATAGATGGCGCTGCGAGATACGAACAAAACTAGAGAAGAAAGAATTAAGAAAAAGAAGGAAGCTAGGTTTTTTGTTTTTTTAGCTTGGTGTGTGAGAAGTCTAGAATGTCTTATGATGCAGCGCGAAGTTTTCTTTGATTATGTGATTACTATTATTTTCTATATACTTCATGTTTGTGCCGTGGCATAAGTATGCATCTAAATAAAATCGTTTATGCCAAGAAAGGTTTATGGTGAAATCATTTCACATTGAAAAATCTGAAAAAGAACCTGCGAAATATTACTCTCTATAAAGCGGGTATCTGTGGCAGTGTGGTGTGGGTAATGCTGCTCGCCTCCAGTGACTTTGGTTCACAGGTGCCCACCGGAAATGTTCAGTGTAGAAAAAAGAACTTTTTTATTGTTTTTGGCGATTAACTTGCAGGTTCTTTGGTTGCCATATCTGTAATCTAAAATAAAATATCTGTATCTGGTCCTTTTTGAAGGTTTTATTAAATCAACATAGTAATTATAAAATTAAGCTAATTAGATAAATAAAAATATCGATTCCAATAAGCACCAACATATTAGCAAATTTTACTAACTGCATAGGAAGAGATTTCCGGGCATAAGGTTACTGTGCAATTCACAATCCTTACGATGTAAATCACGTGTGCGGGTGAGTGACCACTTGGATCAGTCTGCGTAGGGAGCGAGGGTGTGCGGTATTGGTCCTCGTTAAACTGTGCTACCGTTAAGTGCTCGACTTCGCGTGCAGGTCGTCGGGCTACCGAAGCGGGCGGCGTGCCATCCCCTCCTCAGAGGATCAAAATTGTGATGGCATGTCTTCGGATCATCCTCCGGGATGTTTCCCAGACTGTCGCCAATAGCCCATTGTGCAGCTCTAGTGCGACGTAAATTAACAACAACAACAAGTGACTCATGATTTCGGCTGTGACTGCAGAGTTCGAGTGTGGCACAGACTTCATGAATCTTTGAACCCAAGTTGTCAGTAGGGCACTGTGCAATCTGGTGGTATCTCCATATAGGTGCGGACTGCTTTTTCATTGCATGAACTGGTTCCTATATTCCGATTGCACCGATCATTAACTGGAAATGGTTATGTTCAGCTACTTGATCACTTGCATCCGTTCATGGACTTCAATGCAATTTTCAATGCACCATGTCACCGGGACTTAATTGTTTGCGACCGGCTTGAAAAACACTCTGGACTACTCCAGCGAAATATCTGGCCACCTAGATCACCCGACTTGGATCCCATCAAACATATATGAGATATAATAGAGAGGTCAATTGGTTCGAAAATCATGCACCCGCAACACTTCTACATTTATGGACAATTCTACAATGATGCTTTCTTCTCACAATTTCAAATATACATAAATCACACTATTAAACTTTATTTACGAGTTCATTATTTTTAAGTATTGTTTCATTCAGTATAATAATTGTGATCTTTTATTTACAGCTCTGCTGTCCATTTGCTTTGTTCTTCCTTAACAAAAACAAACAGCTTATGCCAATCGCTATTCAACTGTTTCAAGAGAAAGGAAAAGATAATCCAGTAAGAAAAAATTTCATCTGAATTAATCATTTAAAAAATAAATAAACTATACAACTAAATACGGTAATAAACAATATGGCAATAATACGGTAATAATACAGTAAAAAACATTCGTTTGCTTACATTCTATTCTTAAAGAAAATTGCATTGGCTTTTGTGTAGTTTAAGATATTTATTACTTGGTTAATTTTAATTACCACAAATCTATTGGCGTAGCATGATTAAACAAAACAAAAAAAATCTCAAGTAACCAAACAATAAATTGTAACTTTCCATTATCAATACGATGCGTAGTGCTAGGCGATATCGTAATATTAATTTCGACATGAATCGTTCCGCCTTCCAATGAGGTGAACCGGGTTCGAATCCCAGCGATAACTAGCCGATACGAATTCTGCATCCGACTCGCACCGACCACAGTGCTGACATAAAATATCCTCAGAGTTAGACGGATTCGGTCGATTGATCGTCAGACTGACTGTGGGAGGTTTTCCTCTGGATGTAACATAAATGCGGGTTAGTTCCATCAAAAAGTCGTCCACGAAAGCAAACTTTCTCCCAATTCCTTGTCTTTTGGATTGGGTTCAAATTTACTAGACTACAGAGTTGAACATTAGTACTCGTAAACGCTCCCCCCCCCCCAAACAAAAAAATTGGGTGAGCTATTCAACGACGGTTATAAAATAAAATAAAATGTATCGCGAATACTTTTAATTTAACTATTTTATATTAGTTAATAATTTCGTTACTTAAATTAAATATACCAACTTCCTCAATATTTTCGCGTCCGATATCTGTAGTTGTTGGTAATTATCGCAATATTATTATTGCCTATAACGTTCGTATGAGCAAAACTTAACAAAGATATATATCGTGAACACAAGTTTCAAAATATTGTTATAGTGATGCTTAAAAAATATTGCGATAGATCGTCCACGATATATGGTTCAGCTTTAGAGAAAGAAGTAGAAAACAAAATAACGGATCCAGGACGCACACATTTTAACTTTTTATTTAAAAAAAAAGCATTCATTCATTTGATTTTTTATGCTGTTGTATCATTTAATGAGCATGACGGAAATGGTCATGCATATAAACTTTTATGAACCCCTTTCAAAAAAATAATACTTTTAAAAAAAATTATATTTGTCATGTAACAGAAAATATTTTGCTTCAAATTCTCTGTAGCTGATGTATGAATAAATTTATTTTCAGGTATTCCTGCCAAACGATAACCCCTACACTTGGTTGATGGCAAAAATTTATTACAACAATGCTGATGCCAGTTACCACCAATCATGTACTCACTTAGGTAACTTATTCATAATTTTCTAACCATCGTTTAACAGTAGACCCAATTTTAGGTTTACAACTACTGATGTTCAACTCCGTAGCCTTGTAATTTTGAACCCGATCCAGGAAGACGAGGGAACTCCTGGGTCAACTATTGGGAGAAATTTTGCTTTCATAGAGGACTTTTTGATGGAAATAACCAGCATTTGCGTTTCATGGAGAGGAAAACATCCCACGGTTAGCCCGACGGCAAGGGAACTCTAACCCATGATCCGCCTACCACTGAGATATTTTAAGTCAGCACTGTGGTCAGTGAGAACCGGATGCGGAATTCGTATCGACCAGCCATCGCTGGGATTCAAACCCAGTTCACCTCATTGGAAGGCGAACGCTCTATCCCCTGAGCCACCACGGCTCATGGTTAACCTATGCCATATTTATTTATTATATAGATAAAAAATAAAAAATGGAGAGTTGGAATAATAAATTGTCTACTTGATGAGAGTTTTTATATCGCCATTTAGAGATTAAGAACAGATTTGTTGCAGCTGCAACAACTTGCAACATTGGTGATAAAGAATAATTCATTTATCGAAAATTACTTTAAACTGCAGACGATTTGTTGTTGTAGTTAATTTACGTCGCACTAGAGCTGCACAATGGGCTATTTTCGACGGTTAGTGGCATCCCTGAGGATGATCCGAAGACAAGCCATCACAATTTTGATCCTCTGCAGAGGGGATGGCACCCCTGCTTCGGTAGCCCAACGACCTGCACGCGAAGTCGAGCACTTTACGGTAGAACAGTTTAACGAGGACCAATACCGCACACCCTCGGTCCCTACGCAGACTGATCCAAGTGGTCACCCACCCGCACACTGACCGCAGCCAGTGATGCTTGACTTCGGTGATCTGCTGGGAACTGTCTTAACGATCAGTCCACTGCGGGACTTTATATCGCCATTTAGAGATTAAGAACTGATTTGTTGCAGCTGCAACAACTTGCAGTATTGGTGATAAAGAATAATTCATATATCAAAAATGACTTTAAACTGCAGACGATTTACTAATAACATTTAAGAAGGGTAAATTAGTAGATTCTCGAAAGCCATGATGTCGCGTCGACGACTCTGACATCTAGCGGTACGTTGCGTGGTTACTACAAGAGGTAAACGTAGATAAAGTAATGCAAATTTGGCGAATAATGTTAATGGATTGGCGCATTCGATACTACCGATCCGTGGAATGCTACGATCTCAATAGCGATTGATTTCCAGAGTTTGTTCTTTGTCCCCTTCCTAAGGGAAAAAAGTTATCAAAAAATAAATTTTTTTTCTCTCTTTATAATTTAGATAAGAATTCTGTTCATTTCTTTTTCTGTAGGTTTCACTCATCTTTTAATGGAAGGTGTCGTTATTTGCACTCACAGAAATTTATCACCATCTCATCCTTTGTACAAACTTTTAGCGCCTCATTTTTTATTTCTTCTGGCTATCAATACGTAAGTATTCCTTCTTTATTTGCTCAAAAGTGAAACAGTTGGAAAAATGGTACTTTAAAACCCGTCATTTTACGTCGTAACTGGGAATCAAATTGTTATTATGTGATTTATTATGACTCGTGCGCAAATAACTATTATTATGAAATAATAGAAGTTATAGGGGAGAGTGGGGTCAATTGTAACAGGGTACGATTGTAACAAAGCAAAAATTTCGATTGTCGGGTTCTAGGTGGTGCACAAGGTGTATTTAATAAATCTACATCTACACCCCTGCTGGCAACCATTTTTATGTACTTTTGATAAAGTTACATCACAAAATATATTTTCACGCTACGTAAGTACTTGTTTTGGTATTAGAATATTATATTGTAACAAAGTAATTTTGTTTAAACAAATAAAAATTATTAACTGAATATGTAAGTGGACACCTTAATAACCATTTAAAAAAAAAAGAGATTAGTTTTGTTAATTAACTAGCATTGTTTTTAACAAATGAAGCCTGAAATGGCGTCTTGGGGACGATTGTAACAATAAGTAAAGGGACGATTGCAGCAACTGAAAATAAATAATCTTATGTTTACAAACCATTACTTAACTCTTTAAGAACCACCAATAGTTTCTGTATCATTTATATTATGTTGCATGTGCATTATTTTATTTGTCACCTTTCACAGCATAAATTTAAATTTTTATTCCCTTAAAGTTAAAAGTTTAACCCTTTAGGTCTCTGCTCATTATTATTTTTACTCCTAAAATAACACTACTATTTTGATCAATAAATAATTATATCACAACTCTGATAATATGTATAGTTAACTATGTTTTAGTTGAATTTATGAACTGTTACAATTGACCCCGTAAGTGGGGACAATTGTAACAGGTGCACGACTGTCAAAAATTGTTAATAACTAATATATTAATATTTAAAATAAGGTTTTTTTTTCTAGTAGAGGATAGTCTACTTTATTCGTCTGTCAATTAATAATAATAATATATTGGATTTTCTGTTATTTAAAAATAGTTAAGTAAGAAATGTTATAATTGACCCCACTCTCCCCTACTCTTTGTAAATAAAATCCGCGGTTCCGCGATTTCTTCTCACATACCTCGCCGTTACAATAGTTTCGTCACATCTTGTTTTTTTTTTCTCTATGGCAGTAAGTTTGAATAAGAAGTTAGAATATACTTGCAGGGATAAAAAGCGAGATTTGCCGAAACCATAGTAACGGAGAGGGGGAGAATATGGAGAGTATCGTTGAACCATGAGACTATTTACAATTTTGTTCCTTATTATAACTGTTTTTTTTTTATCCTTCTGTATGAACAAACTTTTAGTATACGATAGATTCTCACAAATATTTAAGATATTTACAAATTATCAACTAATTGTGTCCAAAATTAAGCGTACTCACAAACATAATTTTTCAAAAATTGTTTTAGATAAAGCCTATTGTCATATTTTATTTATTATTATTTTTTGTGATCAATCAAAACTGCTCAATTTGTTGGCCAGAGCTTTGAAAACCATGTTTTAAAATAAAAAGAGCTCTAAAAATACAAGAATTTATTGACCTGCATCAATGTAAATGTATTACTAGCTGAAAAGCTTTCGAATTTGGATCCGTTTATTGATCACCTATAATGACTCCTTTACTTTATTTAATCTAATAGTGATTGGTCATAGTTTATGACATCTTCTCACATAAATAATACCCCCTAAGGAGCATAATTAAGGCTCCGAAAATTTAAAAAATGCTGTTGGCCAGCAAAAATTTCTGGCAATAAAACTTTCCCCATTTCTCGTTTTTTTTTTCTTCCAAATTTAGAATTTTATTTATTTATTTTTTGAATTTGCGATCGCAACACTCGAATACGCCATCTGGTGAGAAGACAGGTTCCATGCATTTGACCCTTCCCTCTCCTCCTCTTTTCTGTTGTATAGGAATGTACTACGATACTTTTCCTTTTCTTAATATTTTTTGTTTTTAATTAATAAAAATATATTTTTTTAAATTTTCATGCTTTCTTTTTGAACTATGTTTAATTTAGTTTTCAGTTCCATACAGTTTCCTAACTTAAAAGATCTTAATCTATTTGAAAATTAAAACATAAACTAACGTACTTCCTTCTTCTATGACTCTCCATACGCTAATGGTGAAAGCATACGAAAAGTTGCCATAGGTAGAGAGTTCTGCCCTACGCCACCTGTAGCCCATTTCAATCGCCATTAATAGAATTTTGCATGAAATTTTAGAATGAAATTTGACTGAATATCCTGTAAAATTGGCGCTGATATTAATTAATTATGCTTAACTTGAGCGTTTTGTAGCTTCAAATATTTTTCTCAGTGCATTTTTTTTTTCGATTAGATATTAAACAAACTGTTCAATCTTACAGAAGAGGACTTTATAAACTAATCTCGCCAAATGGTTGGGTGGATAAAACTATGACAGTTGGCAGAAAAGGAATGTTTGAACTCATTAAAAAAGGGTAAGCTTATTATTAATTTTCAATTATTAGTCACATTTTATCTGAATAAAAACAATATGAACAACAAAAAAGTAATAAATTACCCAGATAGCAAAGTAACATTTATTTTCACTCAGCAAAAACCTTTTAGTGTGAACCTAAAAAGGTTTGCTGTGCGGTTTACGTGTAAACCTTCTAACGTTAAAACGAGATCTGTGACAATCTGCTTTATTTTACCCACATTACTCTAATCCAAAACCTTGAAATACAACCTTCCGTATAAAAACCTTAAATCGAGGTTGACTTAGGGTTTTCAAGCGTGAAAAAATCCTTTAATAAAGGTAGTCTCAAGGTGAAAATAATCTTAAATCTAGGTCATTGTAAGGTTTCTTTTCGCAAGGTCTTGTATGCTCAGCTAAAATCCACTTTGTCGTGTAATTTTAATGGATCAATGGTAATTTCAATTTGATCTTATCACTAGTGTGACGTCATCTAAAACGTCACTATGACAATACATTTTAAAAAAGCTTTGAAAAATAATTTTTAATTCTTTTAGGATGAAAGGTTTGAAACTGCAATATTTTTGCTTTATTGAAAAAAGGTTTTTAGTACAAACATTTTTGTGACAATAAAAAGAAAATCCCGACACAAGCTTGCCGTAAGGTTACATGCTTTCTGGGCACTCTTTACTCCCCTCAAACTAATGATGACCTTCAGATTTTCAAGTATCATGAGGGGGACTGTGGTTATACGTTCCCCTCAAAAATTAAAAATCTCNTACAAGCGTGAAAAAATCCTTTAATAAAGGTAGTCTCAAGGTGAAAATAATCTTAAATCTAGGTCATTGTAAGGTTTCTTTTCGCAAGGTCTTGTATGCTCAGCTAAAATCCACTTTGTCGTGTAATTTTAATGGATCAATGGTAATTTCAATTTGATCTTATCACTAGTGTGACGTCATCTAAAACGTCACTATGACAATACATTTTAAAAAAGCTTTAAAAAATAATTTTTAATCCTTTTAGGATGAAAGGTTTGAAACTGCAATATTTTTGCTTTATTGAAAAAAGGTTTTTAGTACAAACCTTTTCGTGACCGTAAAAAGAAAATCCCGACACAAGCTTGCCGTAAGGTTACATGCTTTCTGGGCACTCTTTACTCCCCTCAAACTAATGATGACCTTCAGATTTTCAAGTATCATGAGGGGGACGGTGGTTATACGTTCCCCTCAATAATTAAAAATCTCAAGTCCTACCTTAATATTTCAGACAAATAAAAGAAAAATCTTGAATTATCACTGTTTTCAATTCAGCAAATTTTTTTTTAAAAAATGAATCACTTCATAGAAACTTTTTTAAAGGTTTTGAGTCCCCCTCAAAAACTACACTCGGATCCCACGCGGATGAAAACTAACTGATTAAATCCGAGCCTTTATCTGCTCTCTAGTTTGCGCATTTATTTTCTTTGAACTAAAAATAAATCTCAGACAATTGCCAATTATCCATTATCATGGTTAATTATCATCGATTCAAATTAACCTAATTTTAAAAAAAAAAAAAAAGAATCACTTCACAGAAACTTTTTCAAACGTTTTGAGTCCCCCTCAAAAACAACAGTCGGATCCCACACGATTGAAAATTAACTGGTTAAATCAGGACCTTTATCCGCTCTCTAGTTTGCACATTTATTTTCTTTGAACTAAAAATAAATCTCGGACAATTGCTAATTATCCATTATCACGGTTAAATATCACAGTTTCAAAATTAACCTAATTTGTAGGGAAAAAAATCACTTCACAGAAACTTTTTCAAACGTTCTGAATCCCCCTCAAAAACTACACTCAGATCCCACGCTGTTGAAAATCATTATCTGCTCTCTAGTCTGCAAATGTATTGTCTTGATTTTCAACTAAAAATGAATCTCAAACAATTGTTAATTATGCATCAGTTCTAATGTGATGTAAAACTATAAAATAAAATTTCACTCCTATCCATAAAACAGTGAGTTTAAAGTACGAATACTTAATTAGTTCTCCACAAATAATACTAATTTTTTAGTACTCTAGAGGTAAAAGATTAAAAATAATAATTAGTTATAACCCCACAAATAAAAAAGGTCAAAAACTATGATTAGTTAGTAGTCCAATGTAAAAGGCTAAAAATATTCAAAAAAGTCGTATTTTTAAAATTCTACTTCTCAAGAACTATTTGACCAATTTCGTTCAAATTTTGAATTTTGCCATCTAAAACTACTTTCGTTAAAATAATACAAACATTTGCATAAATTGCGTTTCGAAATTTTCTTTTCTGACCTTATTTAAACAAATTAATAAATAATAATAATAAGCTAACAGAAAACGTTTTTTTTTAATTATCTTTGGGTAGATGAATTTTTATAATTGCATGCAACAATTTTTTTTTAATCATTTTAAAACATTTACGCCTAAATCCGCAAAAAGTAAAATTAACATTAAGGAGCTGAAATTCTCGACAACTCCACTGCTATTGGAACCTTATATGCTATGATAGATACTTCGTTGGTGATTGTCTGATAATTAGAACAAAAATTATTCAGGAGGATGATATCTTTTTTATATTGCCCACTGCACCTTCCTTGTTCTTTGCGATTTATGGTAATTTTTTACCCATAGGTTAAATCAGTGGCATATGAATGTTCATGGTATGGTACCTAATGAAATCCGATCCCGAAATGTAAGCAATACTTTCATTATTATTTTATGTCTTTATATTTAAGTACAAAGGGAATGAAGTCGAAATCAAACTAGTTTTTACGAATTTCACATTAATTTTGTCATGAGACAACTTAGTTTATTTTCTGAAATAAAAGATATGTCATTTGCAAAAGCAAACTTTTTCAAATAATGATCATTCATTATTTTACCCACAATTCTGCATGTCTAACATTTTACGCAAGAAATAACTCTGGTAAAACAAAACAACAGCTTTTTCCAAACAAATTTTGAATTTTTTATAATAAGGTAAGTATGCGACGTATCATTATCTATGGTTGTTTGATATTAGGTAAGGGGTCATTTACGCATTCCTTATCAAAATTTTCAATGACTGTTTTTCATAAATGTAGCTGAATTCCGTTGACAAAGCTCTCAATGTAATCCAAGCATATATGACTGTGGGCTAGTGGACGTCAAAGATAAAAGTCTAACAGTGCTGAATTACTGAATCTGTTCTGACATTTCTGATCATGAATTTACACAGTTTAATTTAAAAGCGGACTCATTTTAGGGTTTATCGCTTTATAGCTTCAAAATTTTGAACCCAACCAGAAGACAGGAACCCATTCAGAAGACGGGAAAATCCCTATATCAAGCATTGGGAAAAACTCGATTTGTTTTTGTTGTTATAATTAACTGGCATTTGCATTACATTGAGAGGAAAACATCACACAGTTAGCACGTTGGAAAGGATAGATTCTAGCTCAAGATCTGTGAACCACTGAGAAGCCAGGAGCACTGGTGTTTAGGCAGCGAGTAAGCAACTTTAAATCCAGAAATGAAATTTAACCCCACTACAAAATTTGCAAGTTACAAATCATTTGTGGTTGCCTCCTTTTAAACTGTGGATGCTGGGATATTGTGAGGACAAAGGGAAAGATAAGGATTGATAAAATTATAAAGAATTAGAATGCAAAAAGCCTTATTTTTCCATTTGTTCCTGTGTACATTTCTTTCAATTTGTTTTCGTGGTGTATCTATTTCATTGAGGAGCGAAAAATTTGTTTGGTGGTGCTCATGCACAGACTGTTTTTACTCCCTAGACAAGCTGGTGCCTTTGAATCTAAATTGCGTTTACTGAAAGCCACCGCCGGATATAGAACCCTAGTTGTTCGCAGTGAGGCTGCGAGTATGGCTCCGCGCATCTCAATGAAATAGATACCTCACCAAAACAAATTGGAAAAAAAAAATTTATTCCACAAGAACAAATTTAAAAATAAGACTTTCTGCATTATAATTTTTCATAAATCTATTACCATGCATCCAGTGTGGGAGTAGTTATAACGATTAACGGCACATTACCGCAAACTATCATACCCTCTACTGCCCCAAGAAAAAAACAAAATAAACCACCAACAGGCCAGATGAAGACTAAGTACCGAAATATTGAGAATCGAAATTGAAGTGCATAAAGTCACCCAGATGGGAAACTTAATTTAGAAATTTGAAAGTTTGAGTACAAAACAAGCATGTGTGTCCGAAAATGTGTAAAAAGATGAAAAAAAATAATAAATAGAAAGAAAAAAGGAAACGCATAAATAGATATAAAAATAAATTCTATAAACATTAAATTTAATAAATTGACCTCGTAACTTGGAATTTTATATCTTATACTCTTTCTTCGATTTCCATTNTGTAGAGATATATATGTATGTATGCATGTATATATATACCACCTCCGGAAAAAAGCATGACTACGGCCGAATTGATTGCAGAACACGCTTTATATTGCATTGCTAAAATAAATTAATAAAATGAAAGTAACAAAGTATTGGAATATATTCGCTTCTCGAGAATAAAAAGTTATTTTGAATGATTTACTTTTGTGAATAAATGCATGTTTTCTTCCAGCTAAAACGGGTATTTTTCTGTTTTAGGTGGACAGTGATGTTTTACCCCATTATCCTTATAGAGATTGCGCCACTATGATATATTTGGCTATACGAAAATACGTATCAAAGATTATTCATCGATTTTATGGTAAGGAAAAACTATTGTATATAAAATTTTACTCCCTGTACGAATAGATTTACAAATAGATAACAAATATTTTCAGATAGTGGTGATAAAGTGTTGCATGATTATGAGCTTCAACAGTGGAGAGCAGAGCTTGTCAAGGATCGAAAATTAGGTGGCTGCGGATTATTGGTACAGAATAATTATTCTTTTTATTTGATTCTGGTATTAAAATGTTTTAAACATGACATCACTATGATGACGGAATTAAGTGAGGTTGGAGTTGTATGGTATAGTTGACTAATTGAAGATTGTGATGAAAACAGGATGATGAAAATTGACATTTGAAAATGAAAACTGGATCATAATTATAATAAAACTTTTATTTAATATTTGTAGAGCTCGAGATATAAAATTATATTTTATCCATAATAAGACTTTCTAAGTTAAATAACAAATTTTGAATGATAACATTAATAAGGACAGGATATGGGAGATGAAACCTCCATGATCAGCCTAAACAAAAGGCCAAATTAAAAAGTGATTGAATTGTTCCCACCTGACAGTTAGGAGCATGGAAAGAGATCCATGGTCTGTGATTTATCGAAAGATAAAATAACCGAAAAATAAAATCAACCCCCTATTATCAGTATTAGGTTTGAAAATATCTTGGCGAAAGTCAATCGCCAAAAAGACTGTGAGAATTAGTATAATCATGTAACTGAAACATATTTTTTGTATTAAGAAGTAAAGAATTATTAATAGATTTTTGTTTTAGATTTAGTGAATTAATGAGTCTTCGTTAGTATTGTAATAAAAAGTTAGCCGTTACATTGATCGATGAAAAAAGAATAAAATATTTCATGTTCGCTTATTATAAATTGTAATAAAAATTAAATAATTGACTTATTTTAATTAAATTCCGCTTAAAAAAATAAGTTTAAGAAATTAAAGAAATTTTAAAAGCCGGGAAATATGTAATGCCTATTGTGGCATCGCAATCATATAATTCAAATGTGTGGATTAATTCAATCATTAATAATAATAAGCAGCGTAAGTTAATTCGGAAATTTCATCTCAAGACAGATTAATTTGTTCATTTGTACAGAAAGCTTTCTTAAACCTAATCTTAATTGAATAATAGTATTTTTTTTTTCAAAATGAAAAAATGTAATTTATGTGTTAGGAGGAAACATTCTTCAAAACTTTATTTTACTTAAAAAAGTAATCAATTTTAAATTTTGATAATTTGAAAAACCACTTTCTTTGTTTACGTTATCTTTATCGTGTTTTTATTTACTGTTTCTGTTGAAAAAGTTTGATTTTTTAAAAACAAATGGTTTATGTATTAGGGTGTGCCAGGTGCCGAAAACAACAGATTCACAGAAACAGAAGAAGTAGTTGACACAGTTACCTCAATCATCAGCACTTGCAGTCTGGGACATGCAGCGGCTAATTTTCAACAATACGATGATTATGCATTTCCACCCAACTATCCAGGAATTTTACACGGAGATCCACCAAGGGATAAGGTGAAACATCATAACTTGTTTTTAAATTATAACCTGCGCTGAACCGCTGACCTTTTATAGTTTGTCTACTGTAAGAACTCCCCCCTCCACAAAGTTTGAGACCGTCTGCTGCTATGGAAACAAGAATAGCTCATTTCAGGGAGGGTAGCTCCGCTTTACTGTAGGGCTAATACAATAGACCGAAGAAAAAGATTCCCTTTCTCTCGCAGACCCTAGCCAAACCCTGTCCTAAACAATGACCCCCATACCCCTACTTGAAATAGTTATACCTCGCTACCATACTCCCCTTCACGTGTCCAGACGAATGGCTAGGGGAGTTCTTACTTTAGACAAACTATACAACTACGTGTGTCCAACTCCGTAGCCTTGTAGTTTCGAACCCGATCCAGAAAACAAGGGAACTCCTGGATTAAGTATTGGGAAAAATTTGCCTTCGTGGAGGTCTTTTCTATGGAACTAAACCGTATTTGCGCTACATGAAGATTTAAAGCAAGTAAACCTCCCACGGTTAGCCTATCGGCAAGAGGACCCATTATTCTCTACCACTGAGGATATTTTACGTCAGCACTGTGGCCGGTGGGAGCCGGTTGCGGAATTCGTGTCAATCAGCTATCGCTTCGAACCCGGATCACCTCATTGGGGTCCCTTGAACCACCACTGCCATTATAACTTGTTGCTTTATTTGATGGTCAAATATTGTTATTGCTATTTGAATCTTATACATAATTTCACGAAATTTAAATCGGAAATACTTTGAGAAGTTTTATTTTTTATTTAGCAACTTCTCAGTACTGTAGAAAATACTCGTTTTGCAGCCTTAATTTAGTCTTCAAAAATAAATAATGAAAACACTATGTACACATTTCCAGTTAGTACTTAATGGAGGGAAAATAAAATTGTTATCAAAATCTGGGGAATCAGTACCCTAACAACATTTTTATCTTGGACGTAGTTGAACTGAAAATTAGCTCAATAGGGATCCTATAAGAACCAAGAGACCCATATTAGGATGTCTAAATTTTTTAATATTGGTCCTAGAACGGCCTGTATTGGCTGAATAATGAATCTAAAATACCGGGTGAATCTGCCAGTTCTATATAGATCCGATATTGGTTGTAAAGTGGCTATAAAATACCGAGTGAATCGGACAATTTTATATAAGGCCAATATCAAAAAATGACGATCCTTTGAAGCCAAGATTCGTGAATATTGGTCCATTGGGGGTTATTTTGCTGCTAGGGTAAATATGAAAGTAAAAACATCTGAAACCTTTATTATGCCAGACCTGAATTTGATAACTTGAATTTGAGCAACTTTCACCACTTGTTTTCCTCTAACAATCAAAGTGGTGATGTTTGTTGCTTTTGCGGTGCGTTCCTTCTGATTTTATAATTAATTATGGACCTACTGTATATTTCGAACTTTATTTGTATTATTACGTTATCTTTAATGATAAAATTTGTCTGTGAGTCTCTCTCTCTCTCTCTTATAACTCTAGAATCATATTTGCTATTTTAAAAAAAGTCTGATATTTCGATTTTTTTTAGGACCGATTCCGTTCAAATTACACCTCATTAAATTATACGCCTTAAAACGATGCAAAAATTGGTTTGCCTTGTTATTCAAATTCTTTTCGACCATAATTATAAATAGTAAGCAATTATTATAAAATTTATTCTTTGCACTATCTTTGGATAAACGATTATAACTGTGTGCAAAATGTTTTTTTTTTTTTTAATTAATTAGCATATTCGGGGCCTCACGCCCAAACCTTTAAGAATAAGTCCAGAACGGGAAAAATCTGATCAATAAATCAAAAGTTATTCAGAGTGATTCTTTTGCACACTGTACGCTTTAAAATGTATTCATTCTTGGTTCTCATCTAATATATAAAATGATTTTGCTTTCAGGCGCCAATGGGAGAGAATGATATTTTAAATTGTATACCAAATAAAGAGACTACATTGGATATAATGGTGATAACAAAATTGCTGAGTACAAAAGCTACAAAATCATTAGGAGATTTTGAATCACAGTTCATGTATCACCCTACATGTGTTCAAGCAACCGAAGAGTATGTGTTCATTTTTTATTTACGATATTAGTCTATTGTTTTTTTAATTCAACAAAAAGTACTTAATTAGAGTGTCCAATAAGACCTCAAACCAAAACATTTTCAGAGCACGATTGGATAAAAATATTTTGATCTTATTTACGAAATAAGATCAAAATATTGATAAGAATATTGTTTATTCTTATCTTATCTAAAATTACTAATTACTTATTCTAGACTATTAATATACTTGTTAATTAAACATCTGTATTACAACTGATTAACTGAATTCCTAAAATTGACGTGAAATTAAATATGTTGATCTTATTTACAGTAAAAGAAACGACGTATATGAAATTTTTACAGCAAACGAGATTGCAAAGCCTTTATTCCAGAAAAATTGAAAAACTGGTAGGAAATTATTGAGGAAACATTTTTTTTTTTACTTATTACTCTAGACTATAAACATACTTGTTAATTAAACATCTGTGTTACAACTGATCAACTAAATTCTTAAAATTGACTTGAAACTAAAGACGTGATTGAATTCCTAAAATTAACGTGAAATTAAATATGTTGATCATATTTACAGTAAAAAAAAACAACGTATACGAAATTTTTACAGCAAACGAGATTGCATAGCCAATTTAAGTATTTATAAATTTTTGAACATGAATGAAAAAAAAATGCTAACTGCTTTTCTCTTTTTATATTTTAATACAAATATAATTTCAATAATCTAACAGATCTGTTTAGTAATTATTAGACTGTTTTTTTATCNGTATTAGAAAGTATTATTTTTGAGGATATAATTGTGTGAGCTGATGATAAGATTTCTTTTCATTATTTTTTTAAATAATTGCAGATTTTGAATTTTTTTTAATCTTTATATATATATATAGCAAAATAAATACAAAAAAAAACACGAAGAAAGTTAAGAAAAACAATAATTTTCATTTATTGCGCATAAGCTGCAAGTAAACAGAACTCGTAAGATAAGTTCAACATGAAGATAAAACAAAGAAAAATTACAGACATATGAAAAGAGATTTTTTAAGAAATTTTATCCTTTTTTTTACCCCAGCTGGTTGATATTTTTTTTCTTTATTATTTTTCTTTTCCCCCTTTTTTTCATATGTCTGAAAATTTTCCTTTGTTATATCTTCATTTTGATATCTATATATATATATATATATTTCTCTTACACGGTGACAAAAAAAGCCTCATTATAACTCCCCGAATGCCAACGCTAGAAAATCGACCAATGATTGCCGCTAAAAATGTCACGTGCCAAATCTAGCTGAGGTGGCTCAACATATAGCGCTTTTATAAACGGAAACTGAAATAACCAGAGAGCATAAGCTGCGGCAATTTCATACTATTAAGCTAGGCAGAAGTGAGTAGTCTTTGTCGATAGATCTATATTTTAGTATTTTGTCGAAAGCGCTTTTTTTCACGAATTTATATATAACGAATTTATTTGACGATTTTTGATTTATATCACGAATTTATTATTTTTATTATTGTTATTAGTTATTCATTGAAAAATGTGTCTCAGACGTGCTGTTTCGCTTTAAGAATTTATATTATACCACATTTCTAATAGGTTTAACGAATTACATGTCATTTTTTTGAATTTAAATTTATTTTAATGACTTAGTATTTACTAAAAAGATGTAATTTTTTTTTTTAAAAAAAGTTGTTATATGGATTTGACTTGTTGTTTTGAATTCTTAGAATTTTGTGCATTTGCAATGTACCTAAGTTAGTAGCGAGCGAAGCGAGCTTGGTTTGCGAAGCAAACCATGTAAGATTGCGTAGCAATTTTCGGGGGTTGGCGAGCAGGGGGAGCAGCCTACTAGTATATTTTTTTAAAAGGGACACCGGTGTCCCATCTGAGTTAAGAGGTTAATATGCATCTAATTTATGAGACTGTAAGTCAGTGAAATATCTGGTATATTAAAAAATAAACTTTAATGTTCTTGAAATAATTGTTTGTTGATTAATTTTCAGATTTCGAGAAGAATTGCAAGAGATCAGCCGTCAAATCCAGTTGAAAAATCGAAGTCAGGCTTTCCCTTATGACTGTTTAGATCCAGAATTCATACCAAATGCTATAAGCATATAGTGTCACCGTGTTATGCATAGGACTTTATTTTCATTGTTGAAATCCATGTGTGTCATTAACATATATTCAATAACTTCTGATTGTTATTTTATGTGAACTCTAACATTTGACCACGTCAGGAGATGGAAATGTGTACATAAAAGAACTGTTTTACTTTTTTTTATTTTCTTAAAAATGGCTCAATTAAATACCATTCTATGTTAAACAGCTCAGCTGTTCAAAATGTATATAAAAAAATAAAATACTAATACTCAACTATTTTATTTGAAAGCGTCTCTGTCAATTATTCAAATGATTTTTTAACTCAATTTTATCCATACGCGAGACAAAGCTAAAAGCGCTCTTGTATCTTTCTCATAATCATGTATAAATTTTAAGACCATTTTACTCACGTGTGCCTACTTTGATACATCTTAAAAATAAATTAATTTTTACTCTTTAGTTAACTCAAAAAACGTTTTAAAATAAAAATTGAACTTTTTGTTTAATTTGCCATTTTATTGCAAAATAAACTTTATCGAAATTTTAACTAGCTAGAGTTATCACATCTTAACTAGAGCTCTGCCTTTTAACAATTTTCAAATTTCAACTGTTTTCCGACTTCTACGAGTACAGTTTTTAGCGCCATTTTATTGTTATGAAACATTTCTACCTCTTATCACATAATTAGACTATATAGATTTCAATGGAAGTTTGGCTGATGGCAATTGTTTCATGAATTTATCTATAGCAAAATATTCTCAATTTTTTGTGGTCAGCTAAAATTTCGACAACTTTCCGCCGTATGAGGTGTTCCAAGTTCAAATCCCATCCATGGCTAGTCGAATAGAATTCTGCACCCTTCTCGCAGCGACCACATTACTGACGTAAAATATCCTCTGTGTTGGACGGTTCATGGGTTAGACACCCCATGCCGTCAGGTTGACCGTAGGAGTTTTTCGTAGTTTTTCTCTCCATGTAATGCAAATGCTGGTTAGTTCCATCAAAATGTTCTTCACGAAAGCAGTTTTTTTTTCACTATTTGATGCAGGAGTTCCTTTAACTTCTGGTGTAGGTTCAAAATTACAAGGGCTATGGAAATTCAAAATGTAAAGAAAACATGGAAAAAATTACAGAATAATGAGAAATGAGAAAAATAAAATTATTTAAAAATTCTTGTAAGTTCATTTGAATTCGCTACTCGCTTTATAAATTTCTTTTTATGTTTTGTTCTTTTTTTTCTTTTCTGTTTCTTTTCTATTTTCTGTTTTTTTACTTGATATTTATTACTTAATGTGTTCTATTTTATTTCGTTTCAATTTTTTTTTTTTTTTTAGTTCTCCTCACACTATTGTATTATTTTGCTTTGGCATATTGATACAATATTAGAAAGCACTCCTTTTTGCGGATATAATCGTGTGAGCTGATGAAGAGACTATATATTTTTTTTCGAGCACTTTACGGTAGAACAGTTTAACAAGGACCGATATCGCACACCCTCGGTCCCTCCGTAGTATGGGACAACACCCACCCACTTACTGACCGCAACCAGTGATGCTTGATTTTGTAAAACGTAAATCTGAACTTTATTTTTAAATTACCAAATTTAACTAAACATATTATAAAAGAAAGAAAACGCAGGCACAGAAAGTAGCCCTTTAAATAAAATATATTGTGAATTTATTACGATTAGCGTGACATGAAGCGAAAAAAAATCTAAAATAATATATTAAAATATAAGAGCGTGTAAAAATAGAATTATAGCGCTTCAACTATTTTTGTCAAAAGCGCAAATCAAAACAATCTTGAATATGAAGAAATATTTCTATGATCGATATTTCTATAAGTAGAATATTATATATTCCAGTGCAATTCTATTGAATTATGAGAAAAATTTTATTATTTAATTGCTGAAAATTATTTGTTTGTCACCACAATGCGTGTTAATGAAAGTGCCGCAATAAAAATGTAACAGAAGTTTCTCAAAAAAGTCTAATTGTCATGCTACAATATCTAAAAGAGTGAAGTCGAATACAAAATCAACAAGAAAATTAGATTCCTTTACAAAAGTTAGTATAATTGATGTAAAAACTTGTCATAACATTTGAATACAGGTAGTCTGTAAAGTAATAAATATATTCTTGAAATTAAATCTCTCAACTGTAGTAAAAAAAGTTTCATTTCTTTTTGTAAAGAATGATTTTGTATAATTTCTTTTTTTTAAAAAATCAGTTTTGTGAATTTTAAGCAGATTTATTCAGCACGTGGCGCCCTTTTTTATTTTAAGATTAAATTAAAAAATCTGTATTAATAAAGCATGCAAATCTTAGAACTTATATTTTATTTCAAATGTTGCCACGTGCCAGTTAAATATTCATTCATTTCAAAAAAACTATTTTTATGAAACAATAGAAATTAATCTGAGCTTTATCTCTTAAAATCTATTCCTATTCTTTCATTTTATATATTTATTTATTAACTTAAGCGCTAAACTTTCATAATATTCTAATACTTGATTTAGATTTTTTGAGTGAAAATAGAAATGCATTAAGGAGTGTGGAAATTGAAAATCTATAAAATTATAATAACAATAATACTCTCCTATTTTAGTAAACTTTTATTTCCTTGCAACGTGTTATACTTATTGTAAACTTGTTGTATGGTACTTGCTAGAAAATAAATTTTATTAATTATAAATGNAATATCTCAGGGAACGAATAGTCAATTGTGTGGCAACCGTCCCCCCAGACATGCTCGCCAGGACATGGGAAGAGGTAGAATACCGTTTAGACGTCTGCCGTGCCACTAACGGGGCTCATATAGAACTTTACTAAGTGTTAAAAAAAACTTGAAAATACAAGCTTTTCAGTCCTGTATAAAACATTCATGTATGTTTTTTATTTCATTAAAATATTTTGCCTCAAAACCCCGGAGTTCTTTTATAGACACCCTGTACTTTTATTTCCTTGCAACGTGTTATACTTATTGTAAATTGTAAACTTGTTGTATGGTACTTGCTAGAAAATAAATTTTATTAATTATAAATGTTCTACAATTTTTTTGTCGGATTCAAATTACGTTTTTCAACATTTTAGAATATTTTCCTCTAAGATATTATAAAAAAAATTTTAAATAATCAGATATAATTTTACAATAATGTTTATATACATTTTAGAATGCCATCTAATAAATTCAAACTGAACTGAATGATTCTGCAATCATGATTAATAAATTTAAGTAAGAGATTTTAATTTCTATATAAGTGCATATAAGGAGATTCATAATACTATTCAATTTGAATATTAATAATTCTTATATTTATTATATAAAAGATAGCTAATAAAGCTTAAATTTAGGTTTAATAATTAAAATAGTACTAATTTGATGTTTTACCAAAACATTGTTGTTTACCTTACATTTACCTGAAATTCATAACATTAATATTAAAAAATATTAATTCAAATTAGATTAAATAAAGCAAATTAGATTTTTAAAAAATGTGTTATTATTAAAAGACCATTGATGACACTATTTTTTTTCTTCAAAATTTTAACATTTGTCTTAGAATTAGTATGAGAAATATATTAGAACTGACTTATGATTGATTTAGATTTCGTGAACAAACCACGGAGAAATGATGTTAGAGTTGTTGTTGTTGATGATTTACGTCGCACTAGAGCTGCACAATGGGCTATTGGCGACGGCATGGGAAACATCCCTGAGGATGATCCGAAGACATGCCATCACAATTTTGATCCTCTGCAGAGGGGATGGCACCCCCGCTTCTGTAACCCAACGACCTGCACACGAAGTCGAGCACTTTACGATAGAACACAAATGATGTTAGAGAGGAGCTACAAAAAGACTTAATAGAAGGTAATGCCGAGAAATCCAATCAGCGAGCTCAAACTTTCTCTTTAGTTTCTGTAGATGTAAAGGTAATTTACATGCTTACGGGTCACCAATAAGGGGATATAATTATCGACTGTCTCACCCTTCATCTATCAAAAGGTACCTCAAGCTAGAATCAAATTAACATGTCTTATATACTAGTGAATCGGTATTTAATATATAATTTAATATAGTGGTAGTATATAATATAATAATTATTGTATTATTTACCATCATTATATAATATAATATTATTATATTATATAGTGGTAGTTACGCCACAAGCCCTCCTCTCTGCAATAAATCAAAATTCTGATGGTAAGTCTTCTTTTCTGAGGTGTTTCTTAGACCGTTACCAGAAGCCGATTGTGCTGAGGTCACAAGATAAAAAGTTTCCTTTACTTGTCTAAACCGCCATTATGCTGTATTGGAAACATAACATGGTGATTACAAAGAGAATCTATTAAAAAAAATTTAAACTTATGAAATTTACAAACTTTTCCAATATTTTTTACCCATTGGCCAAATGGGTCTTGGTTTGGATTTGATGGCGTCCTCACACTTCTCAGCTACAGTAATCGAGAGTAATAGTAAACAGTGCGCATGCGGTGCTATGGCCACCACTGCTGTTTGATAAATTTTTTTTAATTCTTTTTTCCACTTTTAATTTTGTTATGCAATCAGTTAGTGAGTTTATTTTTGAGATGTGGGGCCAGAGAGATCCCATAAATACTTCTTGAGTTGTTAATAAAAGAGAATTTCCTCAGAATTGTTTGGTAGAAATTCTAACCTGCAGCTCAAAATGGATCGTTTTCAATACTAATTCAGGCGAATATCACAAATAAAGAGGGACCACACTGATTGACACGGGTCCTAAAAGTTAGAGTTGAAGCAAGAAAAAAACGATGCCAAGGCCTAAACTTACCGAGGCTGAAAAACCAAAGCCAAAGAACGTAGACCGGAAAAACTTAAACGTTGCACACAAACAGAAAAACGAAAGGATTCCATTCGTAAACGCAAGCATGAAACCCGTCCCTCATAAAAGTACCAAAGTGGTTGAGAGAATTGAACCCTATCGAAGAGCGAATGGTGGCTCTCCGAACCCCATTCATGCAAATACGAGAAATGGGTGTTGATCACCAGTTAAAGATAAAATGATCCATTGTCAACGTACCCTATGACAAGACCGTAGACTGTCTTCCACGCAAGATAAATGATTCATTCACTATTCATGTAAAATTGGAAAAAAAAACCTAGCTTTCAAATCTTATTTCATGTATGAACTTGTGAATCCGAAACGTGTGTATGATGCAGCTTACAATCTCCATCAAACACCATTGTACCAATCCGAAAATGTTAATATTGATCTCGATTGGCTGTTCAATGTCTATTCTGTCATCAAAAGAATTTACACAGAATTTGTCTGAGATGCATTCAAATATGTCTGCGAAATTGTGTACAAAGCAGTTCAGGATTAACAGTTAAAGATGTCCAAGAGGAAAACACAATAAAGTTGCTTTTCTAAAAAAAATTAGACAGCAACCATTTTGCCAACGGGTAACCTGTGATCGCCTTGCTTTTTTTATGCTTCAATTTATTTTATGCTTCTTTTTATTTAATTTTCCTTTCTTCAGAATTTTTAACTAAATATTAAGGCATTATTTATTTACAAAATTTGTTCAAATTTTGAATTACCATGCCACTAAAAACAGAGATTATAAATTAATACAGCAAAGAAATAATAAGATTAAAAATTATAAAAATAATAGTAAAAAATGAATAATGATTAATAAAATGAATAATGTCATAAGAAAAATTGTTTGGAAGAAGAAAAAAAACTTTATTCCTGACTGCCTCCTAATTTATCTAAAATTATTCTCCAACTAGTCTACACTTAGTGTGATGTATAAAGTTATTATGATAATAAATAAAGCTACATTTGAATATTATTGGGTAATATGTTGGGCCGTTTCCGGACAAAATAAAAATATAAATTGGACAGCGAATTAAAAAAATAATAATAATACTAATTAATTTTAAAAAATTAAAGAAATGAAACGATATAATAATGATGAAATTAATAAATTAACTTTCTGGGGGAAAAAATTTAATAAAGAAAAGGATATTTTATCTTTTAACCACCTACAAATTAATCCAGGTGTGGTATATAAAATATCGTAATAAAAAATGTGACAGATTTTTTACATCATATTCACGTAAACCTTTTTTTTTTAATTATTTTGTGGTCGTATAATATGTAGTTTATTTACGTCGCCCTATAAAGTTGCACAATTTTCCATTGGCGACGATCTTAGGATACATCTCTGAGAATGATCTAAAAGCATGCCATTGCAATTTTAATCCTCTGGAGAGGGGATGGCTAATCCGCTTTGGTAGCCCGATGGTAGAAACGAGGGACGATACCACGCACCCTTGGTCTCTACTCAGACTGGTCAAAGTGAACACCCACCCACTTGCTGATCGTGGATAGTGATTCCAGATATTTTTATCATTTATTCTTTTTCAAATTTTGGATGCCAATTATTCTAATCTAAAGAAAAAAATCATATTTTTTTCGTATTATCTAGATTGGCGATCGAAATGGGCTATAGGTGGCACAGAGTAGAACTCTCTACCTATGGCCACACTTCGCATGCTTTCTGCTACAACGTGAGGAGACTTATAGGAGAAATAAGTAAGTTAATTCTTATCTTGATTTTGAAATATATTAAAAACTTTTAAGTTAGAAAACTAAATGGAACTGAAAACTACATTGGACATTAGATCGTAATGGAAATTTTAAAAAAATATTTTTGTCAATTGAATATAAAAAATATTAAGAAAGGGGAAAATATTGTAGTATTTCCCTATACAATTGAGAATAGGAGGTGAGGAGAGGGAGGAAGGTCAATGCATGGAACTGGTGTTCTCCTGGCCGATTCGAACATTGCGATCGCATTCACTTTGCTTGAGATTCACGCAATTATGATTGTCATCGGGCGAGAAATAGGAGTTTTTATCGCTGGAGAATGTACTTAACCAATCAAGTTTTCATTCTCTTTCGATGGTGATCCCACCTGCATGAACCACATTCAGCCAGAATGGCCCTTTACAGTTGCGCCGCTCTTCGCAGCTGCGAAATATAATTCATATTGGGCCACTCTCGCATAATGTGTTTGACGCATTTCCGATTGCGGTCAAGAGAGAATGAAAGAATGATTTCACCTGATTGGTGAAGAATATTTTTTTTTTCCGAGAACTCACTAAACAGATTTTTGTTAAATTAAAGAAAATTTAATGGCAATGTAAAATTTCGTCTGATTTTCTACTACTGTTGGTGTTGTTGCTAAAGGGGAAACAAAAATTCGGAATGTTTTGTGTTAAAAGGGTGTTTCTTAATATTTCTATGATTAAATGAAATCTATGTTGCTTAATATTCATTGACTTAGAAGAAGAAAGTCCTGTGCTGTAGAATTTTATAGTGTCCTGCCATAATTTTCTTTATACTTTTATTTGTTATCGTCTGTTTTATGAAATTATATTTACTTTCTATTATGTGAAGATAATTTCTAACTCAAGAGGATGGCACCAGTCTCCTTTCACTCGAAATAATTTTTTAAAAGTATTAAAATCTGATTTTGAACATTTCTTGCAATTTAGAAAAATCACTATATGCTAAAAAAAATTGAATGTTTTTTTTTTATTTATTTATTTCATAATAAAGCACAACTTGTAATATTTGTTTTTATGGTAAACTTAATTTACAAAATTATATCTATTTATAGCAATGCAAGTTACATATCAAAGTATATCTTTATTATCTGGAAATCTCCTTACAGATTATTTCACTTACTGATAAAAGGCCGCGTAACGTTGTTTACGAAGTTCCCATTTAATTATTATAGCCCTGATTTTGTAAAATTAAACCGCTATAATAATCAAGCTATTGTTATCCATTTTGTGGTACCTAAACATTGTTATGATTAGTTGTCTAGCTAATAAATATCAAAAATCTTTACTGCTGAAATAGTATTTAGTAAGCTTTAGTATTTCTAACAATTGAACTTTTGTGTTATTTCTAAACATTGCAGCAATACAACTCAAGCAATTAATTGCCGAAATTGTTTATAGCTTCCCTTGTTTAAAGAAAAATCCGGTAATTTATTTTTGTTTCAAAAAGCCTAGAAAAATTGAATTCTTTTCAAAAACCTTTGAATAGTTCTTTAACAAATATGGAAAATAGTCTGTTTTAAAATTAGCCATAGCAGTAATCAGTTATTAAACTTCAAGTTAAGTAATTTTATTATTAATTGCAAATATTGTTTATAAAAATTTCCCATTTCAATAGTTTATTCCCTGCAGTATGTTTACATTGTTCATACGTATAAGTATATTAATATATGTGTGTATGTAAAATTTAAGATTGGAAATAAAATCAATTAAAAATGCATATTTTTGATGAAATAATTACTGTTTAGCTAAAATGTAATCTGAAATTTTGTTATTTTCCTGGAAAAGACAAGAAATTCTATTTCTGAAATTAAGTAGAGAGCCTTGTTTAGAACTAGTCACTTTAGTATCCAAATTCATGAAATGAAAATAATCATGAATAATAATGATCATTTAATCAGTATTATTTAAATGTTTTATTAATTGCTTTATTTTAACTATTAAAATCTTATGAAAAATTAGAAATGAAATAATTGTGATATGATAGCAAAGCAACTATGTTTTTATAGTAGTATGTTGTGACACTAATTTATATAATAACAAACTATGATAAGTATAGCTAGTATAATGATAAAAAATAATAATCTGATGAATTGACTACTGTAGTTTTGTTGCAACCATTCCATTTTGCCAAATTCTCCACCCTAATAATTCAAAACCATCAGTTTTATTAACACATCTCTCAAGCTAATTGCTGGGCGAATTTCTTGTACTTATAAGTAAGTGGCTATACATATTGTCATTATGATTAAAGACCCTGTAGCACCAGAATTTTTTCCGGCTTTCTGTGGCAAAATTCTCTAGCACTAATATCTTTCTGCAAGATACTTTTATTAATAACAAATGTACATGTTACTAGTTTAAAGTAACAAAAGCATAATGCTTACAAAAACAAAACAAAAACTTTTCAGATAAACTATAATTTTTTAATTGAATACGTAATATTTCTAATATTATGGCAATATTCTCACATTATCTAGGTGTAAAAATCCATTACTTGTTTCCTTTTTCAAATTTTGTAAATAATCATTGCATTTAAAAATCTTGAAATTCCTAGCGGTAAATACCGTAAACGAAATTGCGCATATCAAACTCGTTTCGACTTTTGAAATTACTAATCTATTAAAAATATTGGATTTTAAGAACTATGTGGAAACCAATAGAACTCCCCGATAAATTTATTATTTAAATGTGCAATTCAAATTTCCCATATTGATAGAAATGTATTTGTATATTTAAAAATAAAAATCAATAAATGACAAAATACTATCAAAACACAACAACTACATGGATTTATGATACTGTCATCATAAATTCAATGCATCAAACAGTGATTATTGTGTGGTTCAAATTTTATACATAGAATTAATATCAACTGAGAAATAAACATAATTTTATAAATTCTTTGGAATAATAATTATTTCTGTATTTTTTTTAAAAGAAAGAACAAGAGAATATCAATTTTAACTGCGCAATAAAAGACCAGGATTTTTAAAAAATAAGCAAAAATTTGTAGCAATAATTACCAAAAAAAATTATCAAAGCGCTACATATATTTACGATGGAATCTGTTTAAGTTGTGAGCGATAAAGTGAAAGCTCAAATACGTGATTTAGAATTTTCATGCAATGATTGATAGCTATGAGGGCTTAACAATAATTATTTTACAAATATCATTTATTTTCATTTTAATTTTTATTTATTATTATTTTTATTATAATGAGTAATTTTAAAATTCTATTCAGGGTATTCACTGTGTAAATTATACATATCTGCTTGTAGGTTTTTTTTTTACTGTCATTTAAATATTATTGCACAATTGATTGTAAAATAATATTTTGTCTTCTGTTGTAGATTTTATAAAAATTATGGGGTGAAATCAACATCATACTTTGTGTTAAATTATGGCTTTGTCTGAGTATCATCTTGACACAAGGATACGCCGTCATCATGTGCCTCTCACTACTCAACAGGTAATTATCACTGTATTTAATCACTTCTTCTTAAACTATATTTATAGTTTCGTCTCACACCCTAATTAAAAACAAATAAACATGTTAAACACTAAGCATGTGTTGCTGTTTTTTTCCCTGGATCTCATGTATACTGAAACTTCCAAAAAAAGTGCTTAAAGGTGTTTATTTTTGTTTTATAAAAGCCCTTAAAGGTGCTTTTTTCATTAAGTGTTTTTACAAAGTGTTTAATTTTTCCGTTTTCAAAAATGATATTTTTTTCTTTGCCACATCAATTTTCGTCATGTATTATGCGAAACATGCTAGTTCACATTGTTCTATTCAACGTTTTCACAATTCATTCAACCGCAATCTATTTTGGCATACCTTCGGTCCGTACCAATGAAAGCACCAATCATTTTACACATTTGATGAAATACTGAGTTGGGTTCAGTACATAATTGCACTCTCATGGTAAACTCTGCTGCAATTTTCAAGATATTCTCAATTTCAGACTTCATTTTTCACCCTCTGATATCCAGCCGAAAAATCTCTTGGTTTTTTTTTATAATGGCTTATATAATCAAGAAAAGAGTTTTTTCTCAGAAACTGGTTATTTTATCATGATCATCTAAAGTTTTTAAAAATTATTTTGCATTTTGTTAATGTATATAATGCTTAAAAATATTTTTTGTATGCTTAAAAAGTACTTAAAAGGTGCTTATTTTTTGTTGAAAGATTTGAATATGCACCCTGTTATTATTAAATATTAAACATGCATTATTTTTTATCCCCTTGATCTAATGTGTACCAAAAATTCCCATTTACAGTCCAAATATTGCAAATTGGAAATTTTGTTTAAATATTTGATAGTTTTGAGACTTATAGGACACACTATATATTCTGCATCATCATTAAAATCCTGATGCTTCTACTGTCCCCTATAATGCTCAATGCATTAAAAAACTTGCAGTACTTGAAGAAATATAAACAAGAAAACACAATTTTGATTAAATGAAAATTACTCAGTTAAATTTAAATGAAAATTACTGAGGTTTTAAATAAATTATGATGTTTATTTATTCATTTTTTTTTTCTTTTAATTTTTATCAGAGACGACTTAGGCATTTGCGAAGCATATCAGCAAGAAACATTCTAAATGAAGATGCGGAAAAAGACTCCAGTTTTGGTGTTGCTTATACCTTGCACCAGGGTACTGATTTACCAGGTATTTGAAAATTATTTGTATTTCATATGAATTGCATGTTTTTACTGATTTAAATTTTTCAATAAGATTTAAGTTTAAAGTATAATGAATATTTTGTGAATAATCTACTTCAAAATTTGGTGAATCTGAAATTATATTAGTTTGAGTCCTGGTCTTTTTTGTCGGACTCCTGTTTCTGTGAATCTGCGAACACAAAGTCACATTTTTGTGAATATACACAACAGACTATGTTGTCAAAGAGTTTACAATTGTGAAGTAAGTAGTTTTACAATTGTAAAATAAAGTAATCTTCCACTCCTATTTTCAAAGAAGAACTTTTGTAAAGATTCATTTTGAAAATGAGAAATATTGCAAAGGGCTCATTTTTAAAATAACATATTTTATGAATATTCTATTTTTTGTGATAAAATAGTTGTAAAGGCTTATTATTTATTTATTTTTATTTTTGGAAGTGTTAATTTTTACAATTAAAAATTTTGCACATTGTTGCATTTAATAGACCCAAATTTCTCTTACAGTGATTTCTGTTTTTTATCTATCGATAAAATTTAACTATCGATAGATATTTTAACTCCCAAGTTGTTTTTATGAATAATAATTTTTATATAATAATTTTTTAGAAATATATTTCTTACTTGCTCTTTAAATTCAGTAACTTTATTATTTCTGGAACTTGCTTTTTAAATTATAACTAGGAACTGAGTTTTAAACAGCTTTATGCTCATAAAACTGCTTAAGACCCAGAGTAATTTTAAGAGTAATTAATCATTTTTTCATTCTTTTTTAATTTAGTGGCCCTTTTCACCAGCATAATATTGAAACTTTATTTGTGATTAAAGATGTCTAAATATGTTTTGAACTTAGAATTTGAAGCAATATAGTAAATAATAAAAGCAATAGAATTTGATATTCATTAGTTATGAAATAAAATCAAATGATTTGTAGAGAACAGTCAGGAAATAAAATCATTGAAATTTATAAATGTTTTAAACAATTGACTGACATCACTTACACTTTTAAATATCATTATGAGAATCAAAACCAAAAATGTTTAAATAAACGAACAGTTATTATTTTTCAGCTCTATAAATTCAAGCATCCCTGACCCTAATTTTTATAAGGGAATAAGAAATTATTAATTTAAGATTGCTTTGAAAAAAAACTTAATCATAAGGCTTGTTTAATGCACTCTTATTTTTATTTAAATAAATTGTAGATTTTTACTAATTTGTGTAGATAAGATTTTTTATGTTTCATTGTTACCTAATTCTATTTTTCTTGCAATATTTAGCTTTCTACGCAAGTGAAATAGTTAGAAATAATATAGTAAGTAAAGTTTTTAAACAAAATTTGATGATTTTAGTTGTTTTGTGTGTATACAATTCCTTTTTAATACAATTTCTTTGTTTGATTATTTATTTAAATAATACTGAATGAAACTGAAATAATAAGTGACACAATGCTTATGTGAACTGTCATCATTATAGCAGAAACTGTTTTTGGGATTGTTGAAATTATTACGAAAAATTAATCTCATTTATTTTCATTTCTAAATATTTGTTTATACTAAACAAATTAGTTGGTAAAACTTTTGTGTTTGGTTTGTGCACTGTCAACTGCTGATATTGTTTTAAAATAAAATAACGCTTAAACTTCGTACTCTTGGATTATTTACTATTCTACTGCATGTCTAAAAAATTAAACAAGGTCTTAAAATAAATGTTGCACAGAAAGAAAAGAAAAGGCAGTAGTATGATTTACTTAAAAAGTTGGCCCTAGTTTATTGTATAGTGCTCAAATGAAATTCTAATCTAATAATCCTATTTCTGCATGCTTTTGTAAAGTATAGAATTGACTTTTTTAAGTCAAAAAATGGTTTTGAACGTGACAAGCACAGAAAAAGGGGGTTTGAAGCATCAAAAACTTGAAATGCTTAGGGTGTGAGTTAAGGATAAAAAGTTTTAAAAGAATGGGAGCTGTACAGTTTTATAACAGAAAGGTTAAATCTTATTAAACTGAAGAGATAGTAAATGCTTTTCTGAAAAATTCAATTGCATTTAAGAATGTATTCTTTCAATAACAATTGGATTTATTATTTATGGAACTAGTAATCATTTCTTTTGATGCCCAATAGCACCATAAGGCCCTCAATTTTGTTCTCCACCCTTCCCTGTTAGCCATAGCTATTTTTGTTTACTGCCCATTGGTTAATTCAGCCTCATTCCTCACTCTTTTCATCCTCTTGTGCCATTTTACTTTTTTGTGTTCTTTGTCTTTTTTCTTTTCTTTTTTTCCACCTCATACCCAGTTGCAGGCAACACTGGGAATTCTAACTTTATCCCATCTTTATACATTGTCAGTAAAGCACCATCTTCTATTTTAAATTTTTCCATCTATGAGTTTTATTACTGTTTTCTGTAATGGCATTTCATTGATAATGGTGTTAGGCCAAAAAAAATTCATAATAACTCTCCAACAGTTACTTTAAAAAACATTTAATTTTTTAATTTGTGCCGCAGTCAGTTTTCAGGTTTCTGAACGATACAAAAATAACTGCTCTTATTAATGCTTTATGCAAACTTAATTTTTCTCTTACAGCCATATTTGAACTCTTCCACTGTTTATTTAAATTTTTGAAGCAGTAGCGGGCTTTTGCAATTCTATTTTGAATGTCTACATCAGTTTCACCTTGAGCAATGATCATTGCACCTAGATATAACAATTCTTCAACATTTTCTATGGATTTATATCTAAGATGTATGTCATCATCTTTTTTGTTATTAATTCAAGGGCTCTTAATTTTGGTTCTATTGATTTGTAATCCTATTAATTCTGCATTTCTGGCCAGAAGAAAATTTGCCTTTTTATGTAAAATTTTACACAATATCATTTGCAAATGATTGAGCACAATATTATTTGCGAAGTCTAGATCCTCCAAAACAGATATAAAATTCCATCTCATTCCTAACTTTTCCTTAGTTGTCAATGACAATAAATAAAAGTCCTTATAAAGCTGATCTTTGTCTAACTTCAGTCTTAGCTAAAAAGAATTAGTCGGTTTTCCATTTACTTACTTTAGTGCAAGTGTAGCTATTGCTGTACAGTTCTTTAATAGTATTTATAAACTTCTGTGGTTGTGGAATTAGTGCAGGCAATAATTTACTTACGGAAGTAGGCATTCTATTAAGGGAGGTTGCTGTAACCTTGAAAAATATGAGAAATAGTTTATTTCGGAGATAGCACTTAACAATAATTTTGTTTTTTACTGTACCTTTGCAAAAATTAACAGGAAAATATTTATGCAAAATTAAAAGTTTTTTAGTTCAAAGTTAAGTGGCGTGCTAAAAATTATTTTCAAAAATTATAGATATTTTTAAAAAAAAATTTAACAACAACCATATATGATTGTTGCTAGTTATAAAAAAAATGAAAAAAAATATCCTTTTAAACATTATTTTAACTAGTATAATTTATCATAAATTGTTCAAATAGTTTCAAAAATCTTTCAAATTTTTAATTAATTTTATTTAAATTCTAGTTTTTGTCATTCAAAATTACATTAAATGAGATTAATTAAAAGAAATGTATTTTATAATTAAAAAAAATTCAGTCATTTATAAATTAAAAAATAAAAAATTTTCATTGAATTTTTTTTTTTTTTAATGGAGTTATATTTGCAAGCAAAAGTTTTATACTTGTATAGATTTAAGTGGATTGTTTCATTGATACGGCAAAATATACAAAAATAACAGTGAGTGGCGTTACTTTTAATTGCTATCCTGACTAAATTATTGCTACTATAACTTTCCACTTGAAGAGGGAACAGAAATGTACTTTTCCCATTATTACAGAAATATTAATTTTATTCAGTGTTATTGTGACATGAGCTCTAAACTATATACCAATAATTGCTTATAGTTACCTGTTGATACTTTTTAGTTCTATATTAAAATGTACACTTCATATTTTTTAGAATCCATCTTGGAAAGAATTTGAAAGTAGCAACTTACCTGATAATGTTGATACTGCCACAACATGTATCCTTTTTCACAGTAAATAAATCTTTACATGTGTTGCACAGAAAAATGAGTCAGCGCAAAAATCTTCATTAATTTTTTTTCTTTTATTTGTGACAAAACATGATTTAAAGCTTTTGTTGTTAATCTACTTCCTGCAGTTTTCTTCAAGTTTTAAAAAACAATTGCATTTTTGAAAAAAAAGCTAAATGTAGGCATTTGTTTCAATACAGAAGGTTAAATTAAAAATGAAACAGAATTAAAATATTTCAGAGGGAAAATTTTTCTTCAGACTAGGAGATAAAAACTTTAAATTATATATTTTTATACATTCCGTCTAGAAAGAGAGTTTAAAGAAAGCATGCTTTTTGCATTTCTTATATTTTTCTATGATCTATATAATGATTCTACTTCCAAGTAAATAATGATTTAATAAGGTAGAATTTTGTATCAAAATGAATAATGTTTGAAACCATGTGTAATTAATGTGTTGATCTCAAATTTAAGGAATTAAATCATCTAGTTAATAATTTACTTCCGTCGATTTGATCATTTTCTTAACTGTAATTTTAAGATGTAATCGTGAAAATCTGGAATATGGACATAAAGGAAATTCTGATAGAGTGGGTTGTATTTTTTTCTGGATTAGTGTATCTTGGAGAACAGGTAATTTGTATTTCTTCTTCATAATATTGATTACATCTTGCATTGAGTTTCATTGTTTTTTATTATGTATTTTAATAATAATTGAAATTTTTTGAACTAAAAGGTGTATGAATTTTTACATCACTTTGAACTATGTAATTTTAAATGATAAAATTCAAAATTTGAGTTGAATCAGTCAAATAGTTTCTAAGTAATAAAAAGTCAGCTTTAAATTTACATTTCTCAAGAACTAAATGACTGATTCTTCTTAAATTTTGGATTCTGTCATTGAAAGTTTTAAGAGGTATAAAAATTTATGTATTTTACTGAATTTTTTCTCTCTCACTGTTTAAATAAAATTTAAAAACATAATTTGCATTCTTTGTATAAATGAATTAGAGTTGTGTGCAAAAATGTTTTGATTTAATTAGAAATATTTTCTTAGATATGGCAAACTACGCAGAAAGTTAAATTAGCATTTGAGGAGGTCAGAATTGCAACAGTGTTCTTTACTAAAATATTGAGACCTTATTTTCCAGGGTGCCATAACCCAGAGCCGTTTTAATAGTATGCTGAGCCCCAGGAACGAAAATGTTTTAAACCCTTGTAACATGCCATATTGTTTAAAAATGAACTAAAAAAACTTCACATACATAAAATAAATCATTTTTAAAATATGATGCAATAATTTTAACAAATTTAAACACGTTTAAATTTCCTTCAAAACATTTTTAAACTATGCATAATTATAAAAAAAAAACATTTGAGATGCTAACCAGTTGTAATCCTAAAACAATTTTTAGAACCTTAGACTTTTATTAAATTAAATAAAGGTATAACAAAAAATATTTCAAAAGGTATAAACTATTTTGTCAAACTAAACAGTTATTAAAACATCTTTCAATGCCCAAGTACTTAAAATTTTCGGTGGAACGTAGTAAAATAGATTTTGGCTGCCTTTTTAAGTTTTCTTGGTGATAAACTATTTAAATTATTTTTGTTTGCGTGATAATCAATTTCTATTTGTAGAGAAAAAAATTCACACATTATACAATAGAATGTATTTATTTTAAAAAATATATCTAAGGTTATGTTGTTTTTTCTAAACTTTTTTTTAATACAATTTATAAAAAGTTAGATTCTTAAAGGCCCCCAGGCACTGCCCGGGTATGCCCATGCATAAAGACAGTACTGGCATAACCCCTCCTCATTTAGATTTTTGTGACCTGTGCTTTTCTCAGTTTAATCACTTTTAAAATGAAACACAATTATTACGTTACTTAAATTAATAAAATAATTTTTTTTAAAAAATTTTTTACTTACAAGTTTTTTTTTCATTTGATGGATGAAATTTGTTATTCTTATCTGTGTGCCTAACTAATTTTAAATATATAATAAAAAACTTGAAGATATTGAGGACACCAAATTTTTTATTACTCTCACAAACAAACAATTTGAACCCTAATTTCCAGATGGATTCAATTCCCCTTTTTTGAAGGTCAAGAATTGACATTTATTGAACAAAAATATTCTGAAACATTTTTATGTGTGATTTGATCATTTAAAAGGTATTTCTTATTTGCGAGAGATTAGATCTTAATATATTACAATTAGATTATTAGATCTAAAGATGGATTACTGAGAGAATAAATGTGTTTTTTCCCCATCCTACAGGGCTTAATCCCGGGCGATTTTGGTACCGTTTTTCGGTACCTTCACAAAATTTTTAAAAAAAAATCGGTACCTTCACAAAAAAAACGCATCTTCACGAAAATAAGAAAGAAAGTTAGAAGGAATTAAAGTGCTGAATAGTTTTCTGAGCGGTTCACGGAAAAGTGGATTCGCAGTGAACGCCGTATGGTACGCCATCGGACGGCGTTCTGCGCAACCGCACTAGCTCGAAAACAGGCTTGATATGCTGACGTCACTTCTCCTAAATACGCCATTCAATCGGAGTGAGTGGTGAAGTTTTTATACTAGGCAACCGGCTAAATTGAGCCAGTGCGTAAACAACTCAACTCATTTTCCCAGGCGACAAGTGTTTTTGTTATGATTTAGCGTAAAACGTGTTCCATTCGTATTTTTTAACAAGATTTATGAAAAGTTTTTATAATGAAGCGAGGAAGAAATTTAAGTGGAGCGGGTGGCTCACGGAATAGCGATTATTATATGAAGCGTTTACGCACGATCGATAGTATAGGAACGAAATCAATTAAAACATTTTTTCAGTCTGAAAAAACTGAGGAGAAACCGTCACAACAGTC